TGAAAAACTCAATCAGCCTGATTTTGAATGATTTTTTTTTTTTTTTTGTAACAGTTTCAGAATTTGCAAAATCGGTTCAGTAATTTTGATGGAAACGTTGCCCTCTCCTGCTAGTTCTGAAATATCATCACGAAAATATAATAATCAAACAAGTTTTTATAAAATTTCATCGAATGCCTTTCAAATTTTTGAATTGTTGCCGACGTTTTTGAGAAAGTCAAATTTTGGCTTACGTGCTTACTTACACATACTCAAATTTTGGTATCCAATGATTCGGATCAATTTTGAAAAAACATACTTAACAAAACGGCGCAAACATAAATTTTTCCTACGGGAAGTTTATTGCACTTTTGCAATATTTTTAGAACTCTTTTTAGAACATATAATTTTTTAGCAAATTTATTTTATCCGATTTATCATCTAATTCAAGTCAATAATAGATATCAATATATTGTTCCTTAATCAAATTTCTTCCTCCAATTTGTCATAAAAGCCCTAAATAAATTTCTCAAATTAATTTTCATCAGACTTATTAACAAAAAGCTTCCGATTGGGAATTCTGTCTACAAAAACGGTTTCGAGAGCATTGTTCACAGTTCGCGAATTCAAAAGTAGACGGTTTAATTTATTTCGCTTTTTGTGAATTTTCCAAAGCAAAAGTTGTCAACTAACCGGTACCAACTTTTCATTGTTTTTCATTAAAAATGAAAATCTCGAACGGTTTTATTATTCAACGAGAGAGTATAACTGAGTTTGAAGTTCTACGGGGGACAGTCTATTGCTTCAGAAACTTAGGTAGGAACCAGATTTACAGATATTGGGTATTTTTATAATACTATTATAAAAAAATAGGATAAATTGAGTGTAACTGAGACCGAAAGCATAACCTTTTGTCTTTGATTTTTTTGGATGGGGGTCCTTTTTTTCAGCATCGTACAGTCAGTTCAGTCCTTTTTTCGCCCACCTTTCTCAAGACTTCTTTATTTGTTATCTTGTCAGTTCACTTTATTTTCTCAATTTGTCTCCAGCACTACATTTCAAAACTTGGAAACATATTGCTATATCTATATTTTCAAGTAAAAATTAATGTTACTGCTACTTGACAGCAGGCTACTCGAAATGGGATGGAACTTGAGACCTTTGAACCACTCGCCCTAGCCACGAATGAGCCCATATCTAATTGATGATATTAAAAACCAATAAAAAATATTTCAGCCTTATGCAACAAATCATGTATGTCCACAGATATCTCTATAATTAATCCAAAGATTTTATCTATTATCAATTTGTATCTTTTGTTAGCATTACTTCTACAATAGTACTTATTTCAACGATTTTCCACCTGCGTGTCCGGCAATCCCATTTTGTAAATAATGCTAACAAGAAGCATGCGATGTCATCTTTGTCATAGATCAGTTTACCGCAAATGTAAATTGAATCACGCAATTCCGTTTACTGGAAACCATAATATGCTGTTTGATATTACGTAATGATATTTCAATTCTGAGGAGGAGAGAAAATTTACTAGCAGGATAATTTAACCTAACGTTGCACGAAGTACAAATTTTGCAATCGTGTATGATGCACCTTCTTCAAAAATCCTTAATGTTGCTTTTTTATATACTTCGATTTGCCTCATAATTATGTATATAGAATATATAGATAGTCTTATTAGGTTACTTATCTACATATAAGACCTTATTAGTTAGACATTTCAAGTTTATATTGAAGGTCTTATAGGACAAAATAGTGACAATATGGTAAATCTAGAGATCTTCAGAAATCCTTAATGTTGCCTTTTTATATACTCAGATTTGCCTCATAATTATGTATATTGATAGTCTTATTAGTATAGATTACTTATCTACATATAAGACCTTATTAGTTAGACATTTCAAGTTTATATTTAAGGTCTTATATTATAGAACAAAATTGTGACAATATGGTAAATCTAGAGATCTTATTTAAGAAGGTAGAAGTATCTCACTGGATATATTTTACCACTTCATATTTGATCCTCCATATAAAATGGGAATCAAAATTCTGATCTTAGATATCATATATAAAATTCTTCTGTACTGGTGTATGATTTGATACTTCTCCTAAACGGTTATTCAGTTTTTATTAATTCTGTTCAGAGTTTGCTAAAGAAAATTTTTAACAATAAATGAACGATAAAACTATAGTAATATTGTAGAAATAAATGACAAAAATTACAAGAAACAACTGATCATTGTTTGACATTGAAAACATTTGAACTGTCATCTGCTGGAAATGCCAATTTACTTGAAATTAGAATTTAGATGAAATTATGAGCCTAAATAATATTAGGATATGATATAAAAGAAAAATGCAATGTCTACATTGTTATTGACAAAAAGCGGCTGAGATGTGCCAGAAATATTATAGGATACCGTGAACAGTATATGTTTGGCAGATGAAATTATATAATTTGGTTCAATAAATAACGCAATAGGTCCAAAATTGCTTATGCATTATATTTTCAAATTAAATTTTTCAACAATTCAAAAAAATATTTCTACTTATTAAAAAAATGATTTAGAATTTATTTTCATTAATCAAAAATTCATTGTTTGGCATTAAATATGGAATATTTAGCAAGTCCATCTTAGATTGAATAGTGCACATATGAACTCGATTTTATAAATTAATTCACCTAAGATTTGAACTTAAACAATAATATTTATTAGATTATTAGTATGAAAATTGTACTTTAGAAATTATAATTCCCAAAATGCAACTAATATATTGTATGAGATTATGAAAATTATAGACTAAATGAATGAAGCAATTATGTTGTGTGATAAAATCAAATGTGATGTTGTTCTTTTATCGCAGATACCCAGACAACACAAGACATCCTGGAAAACGTCCACAGGATATCCACGCGCGGACATTCATTGTCCCTGCGATAGCCTTACGGATATCCCGCTTATCCTGATCTTATCCGAAACATGTTAATATGTCGCACCTATGGGACGTTCTGTAGGATATCCCGCGCGGGATATTCCGGACATAAACCGGACATGAATAGGATATAATTATGGAATTGTTTTTTACTTTTTAGATGAAAAATAAATTTGGATTAAAAATAAAATAAAAGAACACAATTTCACAAAGTAAACTTTTATTACAAAATAACAAAATCCTGAGATAATTTTATAACAAAATTTAATATATACAACTTTAATTCAAAATAACTTATTTTACAATATTAAAAATATAATTAATTCGGCATTCAATCCTAGTTCATGGTTGATTTTCTCTCCTGAAATAGAAAACAAATGAATAAATGCATATATATGTATATGTATATATATATATATATATATATATATATATATATATATATATATATATATATATATATATATATCTATGAGTAAGTTCTTTAAGAGCGATACATCAATCAAAATAGACAGAGATTTATAAAATAATCTCTAATTCCAAATATATCGACACAATTTGATGTCATTACGAGTGAATATTAAACTTGGTTTTTTACATCTAAAAATGTGTACACAGCACAAATTTTGCACTAACATTGATACAACTAACCAGTCAATAATCATGATTTTTTTGTAAATAGGAGAAACATATAGAACACATCTCACAGAAATACCTTGTATAATATTTATTGGCACGTCGCAGCCAGCTTTTTGCAGCCTCTAAAACAGCAAACTATGTCTCATGCGGCAAATTTTTCAAAGCAATTCCTGGAATTAATTATATATTAGTTTTATTCATAATTTACAACACATCATAAGTATAAGATATATAAATTACCTGTGATGACATCGCAAGGCACTAGATCACAAAATTTATTTTTGCCCTTTCCTCGTCCCTAGCAAAATTCTTTGGCCAAACCATCATCAAAAATGGATTTTCATAGCTGGACTCTGATGGCTAAATACAGAATCTAAAGAGAAAGTTTGTTTAGTATATGATAAAGTTAACAAATAAAAATAAATCTATATAAACTTTTGATTACCAATTGTGTTTTGATCCACAAGTTGAAGCTCCTCCAACAAACATAATAGAAAGCATTTCAAAAAATATTTAATTTAACTTTTGAGTATGGTTCGAGTCAAACCTCAAAACCAACTCTTTCAATGCTCTTTTTTGTCAATCCTCTTTCAAACACGGCTGCAATATTTGTAACACACACGCACATATAATTTTATGGAACACATAAAATTTCCACTATTATTACTCAATTTTAGAGTATTTTGATAAATAATATTAATTATTTATAACACACGCTCATATAATTATATAAAACAAATAAAATTTTCACTATTATTACTCAATTACTCAAAAACTATGATGATTCCACATATAGCGTCTGTTTGATGACGCTAAACTTAAAGGGCGCAAAACCGACGCGACGAAAGAGAAAGGGACAAACATATACGTTTCGAGGTCTCAAGCCGTGCGCGTACGAGAGCGACATGTTCGTGAACCCGTGCGTTATACCTGCTCGAGTCCTTTGGGTTTGAGACATCCCGTTGCATATTCATAGGATATTCATAGGATATCGCGATATTAGGAGATTGTGAGGACAAGTGGGACATTCCCTGGCATGTCTTGTGCTGTCTGGGTACTATATTATTTTTTTCTGAATTTCTTATACTGCTTATGCTAAGACCATAAATGAATCACGAAGGCAGGACATCAAATATGTTATTAAATTAAAAAATATATGATAGGATATTAAAAAATTTGGAACTTTCGAATTGTAGACGTGGGTACAGGACAACATCTGTCGGGTTATCTAGTATATATAAAAATAGTAAAGTGTCTCTGGTCTTGCTAACTTGATTGTTATTATTATTGTTATTATAAATTTTATTAATTTTAACTATTTATTTGTTCCAGGTTCTGATAATATCGCAGAACATGATGGAGTATTTACATCTCGTTCAGAATTGTCTTTGACTTTAAGTAGAGAACATCTAAATGCAAAAATTGACTGCATCGTTGAATCTCCAGCACTTAAACGAATGAGGACCGAAAGTGTCATTTTAGATTTACAAGGTAAGAAATTTTCTATTTTATTTTAAATTATTATCCAACTTAAACCCAGTGCATACGATGCAAGTAATTTTTGTAGTATATTTTTAACTTCCCGTAGGGTGAGTTACAGTAATCGCAAAAAAATCGAAAATGAAAATTTTTATATATCTTTACGTTTCAGAGGTTTCTTAACATTTTGGCATACCTTAGAAAAAATGGATGTATGTGTGTGTGTGTGTGTGTGTATGTATGTATGTGTGTGTATGTATGTGCGGATACAAATTTTCGTCGACGATTTCGGGAACACGGATCAACCGATTTGAATAATTCAAAAAACATTCGATTCGTATTGATAAGGAGACGTGCTGATTAGTTTTTGGCGAAGGCAGGTCTAGCCGTTCCAAAGATACGGGGCAAAAAGTGCCAGAAACGGTACATCCGTTTTTAAGAGAACGGAGCGTCCGATTTGAATAATTCAAAAAACATTTTACTTGTATTGACAAGATGAAGAATTGTTCCAACTTTCATGAAGGCAGGTCTAGCGGTTTCGGAGATCTAACGAAAAAAGTAAAAAAATGAGCCATTTGGCGGTCAAAAATGATCATTAGACATATGCACATCAAATTATCAGATATTTTATAGAAATTTTAACAATAAGTATACATTTTGTTAACATTCCTATGGGTTCCGTACCAATGCTTATGCGTTAGGCGGCGGCGCGCCACTTGCGCTGTGACAATTCGTCTCTATGCAGTTCAAGCAGTACGATTGCATTGAAAAAAAGTTCAGAATTTCCAAAATATGTCAAAATGAAGAAAACATTTTTCTTTTCAAAAAAATTTTTTGTTTTCAAAAAAAAATTTTTTCTTTCAAAAAAAAAACTTTTTTTCAAATAAATTTTTTTTTTCAAAATATGGTAATTTTTTATCAAATTTATAGTTTTTCAAAAATCTAATTTTTTCGAAGTAATTTTTTTTTCAAAAATGTTAATCGTTTTTAAAAAAAATAATAATTTTGGGTACGGGAAGTTCCAGCAATTTGCCTTAAGGCACGATGCCCTAATTGCCTAAAGACAGAATTCCACTTACAGCTAGTTTGTCAAGCTTCTATCGTAAGGTGAGCGTGTACAAAGTAACTATTTTGTTGCAATGTAAACATGAAAAATATATTATTATTATAAACATGAAAAATATATATGTATTAGGATGAATCCATGTTATGATTTTATCTCATATTTATAAGAATTAAAAAAAAACAGTAATAAAATGGGGTATATGATCGAATATCGATCGATCATTGATCGGAGCTCGATCGAAAAAGTATCGGTCTTATATTGCGTCTTTTCTAAACAAAGCGCAAATTTGTCAGAGGCTTGCTCCGCTTCCGACGCTAAATTATAAGGTGAACGTGCCTTTTGCTACTTTCATTCCAAATTCTGGGTCGGAATTGGTAATGGATTGAAAGTTAGCACATTTGAAAGTGTTATTCAAAATTTTCTAAAACCAGTACAGTATTTTATATTTTAATAAATTCAGTGGACATCGTAAGAAAATCGCCAGAATTCCCGGGCGGGAGCCTCGGGAAATGTCGCAAGACATGATGGACGTCTTGACGAGCACCGTCCTAAAAAACAAGTACCAGGCATTATCGGACCGGAGTGAAATGGACACGGATCGAGAGATAGACGAGTACCGGACAGTCAAACGCAAGAAGCGGTTGAGGCAAAACAACGCAGACAATGTGATAATAAACCAGACTGTTAACACTCTGAAGCCATCTACATCGAAAACGGGGAATTTAGCACCCAAGAACACCACCGTAACAGATCCAAAGATTCCACCTATCATCGTCAAAGGCCAGCTGGATTTAAAAGTGATCAAATATATCAAAGATACGACGAAAATAATATTCAGGACCCAATATTTAAAGCCACAATTGCACAAAATATATGCCGATACGATTGCAGAACATGAAAAACTGAAAACCATACTAAGGGATTGTGATTTCCAATTTTACACCTATACTATGCAGCATGACATCCCTAAGAAAATCACTATAACTGGCCTAAATCCAGACATTACTGAAACGGTGGTTCTTGATGAGCTGAAAGCCAAGGGCATTAAGGTGAAGCAGGTGGTCCAAATTAAGAAGAAGGAATCGGACGGCAGTCAACGCAAACTCCCTATATATATTGTCCTTCTAGATAAGGAACAAGAGATGGCCAAACTGAAGGAAATAAACAATATAGAAGGACATATATTTAAATGGGAAAGCTACAGGCCACTAAACAAGACCATCCAGTGCCACAAGTGCCTAAACTTCGGCCATACCTCGTACACGTGCGACATGCGGTATAGATGCATAAAATGCACGAACGTGCACCCACCGGGAGTGTGCACGAAGCCACCAACCGAGGATCCGAAATGCGTGAACTGCCAAGAAAACCACCCGGCTAACTATTCTAAATGCCCAGCTCTAATCAACTATAGAGCAAAAAGAGACAAAGATGCGCTTAAGAGAAATCCAGCATACAAGCCAGCGCCAACACCTGCGCCGCTGACGAGGAGCTTCTCGTCAGCCTTACAACCCACCAGCGATGGCCGTAACAACAGATCTGCGTTTCCTGAACTCCCGGTACCATCATCACCACGAACACAGCCGGCCTCCCAGTATCCATCGCCGAAGATCCAGCCAACACCAGAACCGATCCGGCCAGCATCCTCACGAATCCGGCCTACCACCAGCCAGTCCGATCCAGACCTGAGTACACCGGAGGGACTATTTACTGTTATGGGCGAGATCAGGAAGTTATTCGCGGATCCCGAGGTAAGACAAATTTTCAGTGAGCTTTATAAACTGACAAAGACATTGAACACAAATATGACTTACAATGACAAATACACAACCATACTTAACTTTTTAACGGCATGCCCATAAATCACGCACGCGACATACACATAATGTACTTCAACTCCAACGGACTCAAAAACAACGTAGACGAACTGAAACAGACCGTAACAAAATATGACTTGGACATTGTACTAATTAACGAGACACACCTTAAACCTACGGACAGACTTTACATCAACAACTACAAAGTATACAGGAACGACAGACCGACAAACTCACGCGGATGGGGAGGCACTGCAATATTGATCAAGTCTAATATCAGACACGAGCAAGTGCCAAACCTGACAGCGGGCGGTTCTGAAATAACAACTATTAATGTATACAAAAGGGGTCAAAAAGTGACTATAATATCGATTTACATCCCGGCAAGCGGACTGCAACTGACGGACCTACAAAACCTACTTGACTCAAATACACACGTCTTAATGGCAGGAGACTTCAACGCGCAACACACATCCTGGAACTGCAACTACAACAACGCGAACGGAATCCGACTCTACGAATATCTGACGGAACACAACACCACGGACGCACAACTACACTATCCTGACACGCCGACCAGATACGCCACCGTACAGACGCACCATCACAGCACGATCGACCTGGCCTTGACAAAAAATCTTCACATAACATCCGAACCCATAACTAGAACACTTTTCAACTCTGACCATAACCCTGTTTTTATGACTATCTCTGACAGACTCGACGTCGACAATACTCCAGAACGCAACATTTTGGATTATTCCAGAGCCAACTGGCCACTTTTTAGAGAAATTATTACAGACAATATACGACACACGATACCCATAGAGACCAATACAGACATAGAGGAGGCTGTGACACATCTGACACGGACGATCACGGACACCATCCAACACACAATACCGCTGCGACACGCAATTACATCTACATTTGACACACTACCCGAACAAATATTAGTTAAAATTAAATTAAAGAACAATATAAAGAAACTGTGGCAACGTACTGGTGACAGACTACTAAAGGAACACGTGAACAGACTGACAAAAATTATTCATAATGAGATACGTGAGCACCGGAACGACACTTGGACTAAAAAACTAGAAACCATCAACACTGACCCGCACAAAGTTTGGCAAACAGCCAAAAGGCTGACGAGGAAAACAACACCTATCCCGCCACTCAAACTACCTGACAACAATTACGCCACGACACCAGCAGACAAAGCAGAAATTTTAGCAACACACTTTGAAAACATACACAGACAAAACGCCGACATGTCCAACGCAGACTTAAAACGAGACGTACGCAATTCTATTCAAAATTTTACTGAACAATTTAACGACAAAGACCTACGAATAGACCCTGCCACAGTTTCAGAAATAAAGTCGACAATCAGAAAACTATCGAACAGGAAAGCACCCGGACCAGACGGACTACAAAATATAATACTGAAACAACTACCAACGAACGCATACATACTAATCACACGACTGGTTAACCGTATAATGGCCAAAGGCCACTTTCCTGCTTCATGGAAAACATCTACCATATTTCCTATCCTGAAGCCGAGGAAACAGCCAGACTCTCCGCAAAATTACAGACCAATCAGCCTCCTCAATACAATGAGCAAAGTAACTGAAAAGGTACTGCTCAAACGCATCAACAGACACATCAGACGAAACAAGATTATACCAGACACACAGTACGGCTTTAAGGAACAGCACTCTACGTTACATCCACTGACACAACTAATAGAAAACACTGTACTCAACTTCAATAGACGAAACCATACCGGATTGGTGTTGCTCGATTTCGAGAAGGCTTTTGACACCATCTGGATGGACGGACTGATACACAAATTCATAACCCTTAACTTTCCACCATACATCACAAAACTACTCCATTCTTACCTCGCAGACCGTAATTTCACAGTTCAAGTAGACAACACACCCTCGACGATTAAACAAGTGACCGCGGGAGTACCGCAGGGCTCGATCCTGGGACCGTCCTTGTTTAACGTCTACATCCACGACATGCCCACTGACGCCGACACAACACTGCTGACATTTGCTGACGACACTGCCATTTACAGATCATCACGTTCACCAACGCTACTGACTACAAAAATACAAAGACATATAGACGCCCTGACTGATTACACGGAAAAATGGCAAATTAAAATTAATCCTTCTAAAACAGAAGCAATTTTCTTTACAAAAAGCCGTTGGTCCATTACACTTACTGACTTGACGAAACTAAAGGTAATGGGCCATGAAGCTGAGTGGTCCAAGGAAGTCAAATACCTTGGCGTAACCTTGGACTATAGACTCAGCTTCACAAAACATACGAATACAAAAATTGGACAGGCTTACGGGATGATGAATCTACTGAGACCTCTTTTGAACCACAACAGCCCGCTAAGCGTGAAGAACAAGCGGACACTTTACTTGACACTCATAAGACCATTACTGACATACGCCGCTCCGGCATGGAACGCGACAACCAAGACCAACAGACGAAGACTACAAATAGCACAGAACAAAGCACTGAGACTAGTACTCGACAAATCAAGAGACCCACTGACGAGACACTACTACCCAACAAAATATTTACACGAACAGACGGACATACCGACCATACTAGAACACATAAAAAAGCTTACTGAAAATTTTTACCGGAAGTGTAGGGATCACGATAACAGTACCATCCGCGCGTTAGGCCAGTACACATCAGAAATGATCTGGTACGGGAACTATGCCATGCCTAACTACCTGATCGAGCCCGCAGTGAATACATAAGCCATAAAACAATGAATGAAGGATTTTTTTTAGGTGACAAAAATCGTCTCCTTTTTTTGTCCTTGCGAAATAATGAATAAAATATTGTACAAATATGAATATATAGATAATTTTGTAAACCATAAACTTTTGGGTAAAATACCCCCAGGGTAGACAAACCCACATATAATTCACTGTATTTTACACTATATATATTGAATAAATTTTTATTTCTGTCTGTTCTGTCTGTCAGTAATAAAATGCTAGAGTAATATTTTTTGTTTAAATACGCTCACCTTACGATAAAAGCCTGACAGAAAATATAGGTCATTAATTAGTCTATACAATTTAATATAGTTGATCAAAATTAAAACACCAACTGAAATACAAGTTGGGTATTTTATAATACTTTATCTCGAATCTTTTCAATTTATTCCCAAAATCACTGATTTTCATGTTAAATTGAAATTTAACCCTTTCCATTCGGATGCCGCCCGTCCGGAGTCAAATACATATTAATTTTACATTTCACGTATAGAAAGAGTTAATAGAAAAACATATTAAAAAATATTTTGTAATATTTGTCATCATGAAAGAATGATGAAAATTTTCTTTTACAGTTCGTCCCACAAAAATCAGTGTGACTGGTGTCCAACACCATGTTGTCCAAGGCACCAGAGTCACCTTACAGTGCATCGTCCAAGGAGCTAGACCTGCTGCCAATGTTACTTGGTACAATAACACCAGGCTGGTCGATGATAATATCATCACAACCGGTACAACCGAAAAGGTAAATAATAAAATTTAACTAGTTGGTATCGGTATTTTGCCTTGAGGCAAGTTACATAAACTTCCCGATATTTTTAAATAATCGACTTGATCAATAAAAAATAAATTAACTTTTGAGTGATTAAAAGTATTCCAAATGGATTTATTACACATAATTGAAAACGAACGAACACGTTAACTAGGTGTATTTTCTAAAAGCAAATTTTCACAAATCAACAATTTCCGTAGGACTTCAATGGTTTAGTATGTTCATTACAACCAAGTACCCTATCGTTATACCAAGTAAATCGTCTAATTTATATTTTAACTAACGTCAAAAAAACTACTCATTTTCTTAAACTTTGATGAATTTTTAAAATTAAATTACTTGTTATAAGGTCGTAATATTTCCGTGAGTTCTATAAGACCATGGTATATATCGCCAAAAAAATTCCATAAGAATCGGCTTTTTTTTCATCAGTTATAAGAAAATAAATTATAAGAAAACGGCTTGGTAGATTTTCACCTAAAACTAATCAGTATCATTCCCAATTAATTTGATTCGAACAGTTTTTGACTTTTTAAAACTAATTCGGCAGTATGAGCTTAAATGTGGACGAAAAGTTTAACACTTTTTTTTCAAATTACAAAGAAACGGCTCGGCCGATCGTCGTACAAAAGTGACAAACGATAGTCCTCATGGAGATACATAGAACAGCTGAAGAATTTTTGAAATCAGATAATTTGATGAAAACATGAGCTTCATAATTAATATATAATTAATTTTATAAAACTTTAATAAAATATATTTATAATACTTAAATAAAATTTTAGTTTGTCTACAATTTAAATTAATTTTCATAAATAATTGATACAACACTAAATAAAATTTTAGTTTGTCTACAATTTAAATTTAATAACATAATTTCAAACAATATTAATAATATAAATAAAATTTAACTCTGCCCATAGTTTAAATTTAATAAACTACATTAAATTAATCAAGTTTGCTGTATAATAATAACTATTGATTTAATAAGTCATATTAAAATTTAATTTAAATTGGGATATAACCTCCTTAAGTTTTTTTAAAAATACGTAATATCTTCACTAATAAGACATATTTAATATATCGGTAACCCCCGTATAACACGGTAGGTACGTTCCAAAAAACTAGCGTGTTATGCGAACCAGTATTATACGGGACAAAGAAGTAGTACAAGAGGAGAGGTTATGCCACAAATGATGATTTTATAACGAATATTTTTATTCGTTATTCGTTATTCGCTTATTAATTTTTTTTGGGAAATAACATATATTACATTAATTATACGATTTTTGTTCGTCATAACTAACAAATAAGTGCTATTCAGGGCGATCATATATATTTAAGATATGCAGCTATCTTTATCAAACTTTTATGCTTATTTTATTTAAATAATCTTTGTTTAAGAAATATGAAAGATATTGCTCGCATGATTCTAGAATTTAATAAATATCAAATTACTTAACTTCTGCACAGCAAATCCGTTATAGAAGTACCGTGTTATGTGGGGGTTACCGGTACTTTTTAAATTTTTATCGATAACCACAAACTATTATGAAGAAAAAAATTTAAATGAAATTTTTATTAATAAAAATATGCCGAAGATAAAACCGGTACGGCGTTTTGCACACTGACCTGAAACTCGCGTAGTTTTAGGTTAAATGCAAAACTTGCGTACCGGTTAAGGGTAGTTTAATACATTACTTTTAAAAATACTGTATCAGAATACTTCATATAGTCCTAACCTGGAAATTTTGTTCGTTGGTGTCAATTGATTATATTACTTAATTTTGCTTTACAATTTTTGTAGTCCGAAACTTGAACTTGAACTAAAACACACCTGAAAGTTGAAAAACGCGTAGCATCGCAATAATAATTTTTATACATTTTATTCATAATGTTTTAACATGTCAATTTAGTATACAATGTCCCTTTATGGCTGACAATAGTAAACTCCCCAAATTTACTAAATGTCCTTAACTTGGGCAGTTGTAAATAAAATAGAGAATAAAAATAAAGTTTTAATTTTTATACTTTTTTTAAGGATGATGGCACTTTTGAAACTCTGAGTCAAATGGTATTCACTGGAACGAGATATGAAAATGGCCAAAATTTTCGATGTGAAGCCGACAATGTGGTGATTCGAGAAGACATTGATAAACCCATACATGATTCTATATTGCTGGATGTACGATGTAAGTTCATTTTATTCTTGGAGAATATTTAAACTACTTAATAGTTTACTTACACGTTAATCATTTTTCGTCATTTACGTATTTAATATTTACGTTAATAAAACGTAAATGTTACGTATAGTTGAAAACTTCAATCGGCCTCAACGTACATACTTTGTTTTGTTCATTACTTAACAGTTACGTTACATGGTTTCATAGATTTATCATACAAAATGGACAGTTTTGTACTGAAATCAATAATTCTAATTAGCAGGTAGATCTAGGTACGTACTGACAAAACTGCTTTTCTTGAACACATTAGTAAATATTATTTTAATTACAACTTTTGTTTCTATCCATTTTTTTGGTTTAATATTAATTTTTAAGGCTCGCCCGTAGGTAAGCGGTTAAGAGCGACGGGACTTGTTTCAGAGGTCCCGGGTTCGTTACCCACTTCGAGCAGCCTGTTGTCAGGCAGCAGTGACAACGATTTTCACTTGGAAATATAAATAGCAATATGTTTCCAAATAGCCCTCACCCGGCATTGTTGCACCATACTTGCCCTATTACGGAGATTGTAATAAAAATTTATCATACAGAGATGTGACAACTGTTTGGGTTGTCATCTGTAAAAAACAAACGTGGTTTGTAAGATATTAATCACAACATCTCATAGAACCCATAAGTTCTGATCGCTGTTCAAATAAAATTATAAAAAAAAATTAATTTTTATTTATGCTTTTGAGAGCATGAATTTTAATTATTATGCATTTAGTGTTTTTATTTTGTTTATAATAAATTTATACATTTTTTTACAGATCCACCTGTTGTAAAAGTAAGACCATTATCCATAACTGTAAATGAAACTGCAGATATTTTACTATTTTGCGAATACGAATCCAACCCTGCTTCATTGGACCAAGTTGTATGGTAAGAATATATAAGAATATAATAATTATAACCAAAAAAATAATAATTTGAAAAACAATTTCAATTAATTTTAATCTCCAACTTTCTAGTAGTTATGCAATTGCAAGTTTATTATTATGACCATAGAAAGTTACATCATTACATCAATGTAAATTGTTTCCACGCTTCATAGGGGCGCCACTAACTGTAGCACGTAAATTTACCCTTAGTTAGTTGTAATTATAGATAAGAATTATATAAATGTAGGAACGATAGACTTGATTAATTTGAATAAATGAAATGAAAGTAGATGTGTGGATAAATAAATTATTATACTAAATATTAGATAAACAGTTCTTTAAAAAGAATAAATAATTTGCTCACGTATACCCTCTGTTGAGCGGGGTAAACACTAAAACAATGTAAAGCACATTTATTCTGTGTTTATGATTCATAGTTTTACAAACTATTAATTTACATTGTCTATAATTTCAATAATTGTCTCTTTTATTTAGGCTTCACAACGGAAAACCTATAAATATGTCAAGTGGTCGATATGATGGTGGTACAACAGAACATCAGGCTCTTCAGATTAAAAATTCGTCCAGAACTGACATAGGAACTTACGTATGTGAACTTACAAATAATGTTGGAAAAGGAAAGGCGCCTCAGGATGTACAAGTTGATGTTTTATGTGAGTAGAAATATATTTCATTATATATATATATATATATATATATATATATATATATATATATATATATATATATATATATATATATATATATATATATATATATATGAACAATACTCATAGAACATAGTTTAGCTTTAGACACACAGAACCAAATCGAATTTGAAAATACGCGCCACTTGTTAAATTTCAAAGTGTCTAATCTTTCTAAAAGCATACTCTATGCTTCAAATGTCAAATAATAATTGTAGAAATCTTTATAATGTTGAAAATTGTTGTTGATTAAACTAAATTATTATTTAGACCACAAAAGTTTTCGTAAATATTTGAAATTATTTAAATTATTTCGTGATTGTGAGCAGTGAATAATTTAAATATGTCAGAAGACACGATTTTGTCTATGAATGATCAGAAAATTAAAATTGAACCACCAGAATATTCAGAAGAAGATATTAAATGCGAAATTGAGGATCAATTTGATGTTCTTGATAATATTGTTAAATCTGAATCGTGTTCTGAGAATAATGAAACTTGTTTAGAAAGATTAATGAATTCTGAAGTGACAGTAGAAGTCAAACAGGAGTCAAACGATACACCAGCTTATATATGTGACATTTGTAATCAATCATTTGCAGAATCTGATCAAATAAAAGAGCACATGGTTGTTCACATGCCCGGACAAAGCGAAGAACGTCCTTTCGAATGCGAAATCTGTCATAAAACTTTCAAAGTATCAAAAGGGTTGAAATTACATATGAATAGTCACACGTTGATGCACAAAGAAGAACGCCCCCATGAATGCAATATTTGTAATAAATCATTCATACGATTAGGTCATCTGAAAAGTCACATGCTCATTCATAGTGGTGTACGTCCCTATGAATGCAACATATGCAATAAATCATTCACACAATTAGGTCATCTGAGAGTTCACATGGTTATTCATAGTGGAGAACGACCCCATGAATGCAATGTATGCAATAAGACATTCGCACATTCAGGTAATCTGAAAAATCACATGGTCATTCACAGTGGCGAGCGTCCCCACGAATGCACTATATGCAATAAGACATTCACAGAACTTGGTAGTCTGAAACGTCACTTGCTCATTCACAGTGGAATACGCCGCCATGAATGTGATGTATGCAATAAAACTTTTACAGAATCTGGTAGTCTGAAACGTCACATGTTCATTCACAGTGGAGAACGACCTTATCATGAATGCAGCATATGCAATAAAACATTCACACAATTAAGTTTTCTCAAAAAACACATGCTGAAACATAACAGAGAGCATACTTATAAATGTGAAATATGCAATAAGGAATTTATTCAATCAAAGGATTTGAAGAAACACATGCCACTTCATAGTCTGAAGCATGATGAAAATAAATAAAATATAAATATATTACATTGAATTTAAATATTTTGAAAAATGTTACAAAGTATCTTCACCTGTAATAGAATGTGCAAATGGTATAAAATTTACAATGAATATCACATATGTTTGTGTCAACAATCAAGGCAATTGTTATGTATTACATTATTCTATGATTGTTTTTCATATTTTAATTTTTATAAAGTATTGACACACTATAGGGGGACAGAATAAAAATATGTTCCTCGAGGACTGATGCTTATCAGCAGACAGGATGTTTTTACGCTTTTGAATACTAGTAACTTCAACATCGTTTTACATATGGATTAATAGAGTTTGCTTGTATTTTTTGTTTATGTTCAATTGATTTTTCAATTGTTATTTAATTTAGTATTATAGTATTTAGTATTTGATAATTAGCAATATGTAAAGTTACTGAACTGCTTGTTCCGAACATTTTATTTCTATACTTTAATATAAACTAGATTACATTTTAAAAGTTATGAAAAATCATTGTATACACCTTTCATGGTAATGGTGATGAGTATTTAGCAATGTATGAATTTTTGACATTTTCTAACATTTATTTCAATAACTTGATAATTTTATAAATATAAATAAATGATCTTTGAAAATTTTTTAGTTTTCTTCAAAAATCTTTTTATTTTTATTCTATTTTTTTTTTTGTACATTAGCAAAAACCAGATAAGATTTACAAAAAGCTGTTGAAATCGTTTTTTATACTCGGATATTAAAATTTGAAATAATTCGTAGTTGAAATGCAGACTTCATTGATTGTTATTTTGAACTTTATAATTTATTCTCATCAGCAAAAACTAGATAAAATTTACTAAAATTTGGTAAAAACTGTTATATACACTTGAATATTGAAATTTTCTATAATTCATAGTTGAAGTGCATACTTACTTCAGTAATTTTATAGTTTGCAATAAATGAATGAGGTGCATTTTTTTAGTTTTCTTCAATTAACTTTTAATCTTCATTTCGAACAGTAAAATATGTTGACATCAGTAAAAATTAGATATAATTCACTAAAATTTAGTCAAAAATGTTTTATGCATTTTATGCACTTGGATATTGAATAATTCATAATTGAAACGCAGACTTTTTCAAAGTGAAGTGGTCAACGTCTTATCTTTCTAAAAGCGTACTCTATGCTTCAAATGCCAAATTACAAATGGATAAGGAAATTAATGGAAAGTTATTGTTAGGGTTATTGTTGATTAAACTAAATTATTATTTCTCCCACAATTACTTTTATAAACATTTAAAAGCAGTGAAATTATTTAGTAAAATGAGTAAAGCAGTGAATAATTTAAACATGTCAGGAGACACAATTATGTCTATGAATGATCAGAAAATTAAAATTGAACCACCAGAATATTCAGAAGACATTAAATACGAAATTGAGGATGATTTTGATGGCTTTGATACTAATGTTAAATCTGAATCGTGCCCTGAAGACCATGAAACATGTTTAGAAAGATTTATGAATTCCGAAGTGACTATAGAAGAAGAAGTCAAACAGGAGCCAATCGAGACATGTGATAATACTGGATTATTTGTAGAACCTGACCATTTAAAAGAGCATATGGTCGATCACATGCCTAGTCAAAGCAAGGAACATCTTTTCGAATGCGGAATCTGTAATAAGACTTTCAAACTAACAAAACAGTTGAAAGCACACATGATTGCACATTCTGAAGAACGACCCTTTAAATGTGATGTCTGCCATAAGACTTACAAACAATTAGGTCATCTAAAATATCACATGTCGTTGCATAGCGGGGTACGCCCTCATGAATGCAATATATGCAATAAGACATTCACACAATCAAGTCATCTGAAAGCTCACATGGTCATTCATAGTGGAGTACGGCCCCATGAATGCAATATATGCAATAAAACATTTGCACTTTCAGGTAATCTGAAAAGACACATGGTTATTCATAGTGGCAAACAACCCCATAATTGCAATATTTGTAATAAGACATTTGCACATCTAGATCGTCTGAAAAATCACATGATTTTTCACAGTGATGTGCGCTCCTATGAATGCAATATATGCAATAAAACGTTCACACTTTCTGGTAATCTGAAAAATCACATGGTTGTTCATAGTGGTGAGCGGCCCCATAAATGCAGTGTATGCAATAAGACTTTTACAGAATTAGGTAGTCTGAAACGTCACTTGGTCATTCACAGTGGTCTACGTCCCTATGAATGTGATATATGCAACAAGACATTCACACAATCAAGCAGCTTGAGAACACATATGTGGATTCATCACAGAGAACATCCTTATAAATGTGAAATATGCAATAAAAGATTTACTAAATCCAAGGAATTGCAGACACACATGGCACTTCATAGAGGGAAGCGTGATGAAAATGAATGAAAATAAACATATTTGTTACATTGATTTTAAATATTCTGCAAAATGTTATAAAGTAAACACCTTTACCTGTAATAGAATATATAAATGGTATAAAATATACAGTAAATGTTTGTATTGACAATCAATGCAATTGTTACATATTACACTATTCTATAATTGTTTTTCATATTTCAAATTTTATAAAGTATTAATAATGAGAATTACCAAACATTGATTCCGCTTTCATTAGCCACTTAACCAGCTTTATATTGAGCAGTTGTTTTTTTTTTTTTTTTAATAATAATGAAACATGTGAAAAAAATCTAGTGTACTGAACACAATCTACACTAAAAGATCTGCTCGAATATTAAAATTGCATATTTCATTAGTCAATTTCTTAAATAAACTTTTGAAAATTCTTGTAACTAAAACAGTATGGACTTATTCAAATGGGTTTCAAAGTTTTGGCAAATTCTCAAAAATTCAAATTTTTTTCAACATTTTTAAAACAGTATGAAGTTTTTCAAAATTCCAAATTAATACGTGAGTTTCAGCAATATGCGTTAACGCACGATGCCATGCACCAGCTTAACCCAAATTATTTTATTATCTAGGAATTAATCATTCTAGAATTGTTAAATTATTTGTTGACAGTTTAGATATAGAGAACCATATTGAATTTGAAAATACGCGCCATTTGTTAGTATATCAGAGTGAAGTGATCAATGACTCATCTTTCTAAAATTTGCTCTATGCTTCAAATGTCAAACGATAAATGTTGAAATCTTCATTGTGTTGAAAATTATTGTTGATTAAACTAAATTATTATTTAGACCACAAATATTTATAAGTTCCGTAAATGAGTATAAGTAGTGAATAATTTAAACATGTCAGAAGACACAATTATGTCTATGAATGATCAGAAAATTAAAATTGAACCACCAGAATATTCAGAAGAAGATATTAAATGCGAAATTGAGGATCAATTTGATATTCTTGATGATATTGTTAAATCTGAATCGTGTCCTGAGGACCATGAAACATGTTTAGAAAGATTCATGAATTCCGAAGTGACTATAGAAGAAGAAGTCAAACAGGAGCCAATCGATACTTGTGATAATACTGGATTATTTGCAGAATCTGATCAATTAAAAGTGTATGTGGTCAGTCACATGCCTAGTCAAAGCAAAGAACGACCTTTCGAATGCGAAATCTGTCACAAGGCTTTCAAACCAGCAAAACAGTTGAAAACACACGTGATTACACATTCTGAAGAACGACCCTTTAAATGTGATATCTGCCATAAGGCTTACAAACAATTAGGTCATCTAAAAAATCACATGCTGTTGCATGATGGACTATCTCCTCATGAATGCAATGTATGCAATAAGCCGTTCACGCAATTAAGTAAACTGAAAAGGCACATGCTCATTCACAGTGGAGTACGCCCGCATGAGTGCAACATATGCAATAAAACATTCATGGAATTAAGTAAATTGAAAAGGCACATGCTTGTTCACAGTGATGTGCATCCGCATAAGTGCAATATATGCAATAGGCCATTCGCATACTTAAGTAATTTGAAAATACACATGCTAATTCACAAAGGAGTACGCCCCCATAAATGCAATATTTGTGAAAAGACATTCAATCAATTAGGTAATCTGAAAAGTCATATGCTGATACACAATGAAATACGTCCCCATGAATGCGATATATGCAATAGGACATTCAAAGATTTTGGTGCCCTAAAACGTCACATAGTCATTCACGGCGGAGTATGCCCCTATGAATGCAGTATATGTAATAAGAAATTCACGCACTTAGGTTTTCTGAAAAGACACATGCTTATTCACACTCGCGAGCGCTCCCATAAATGCAATATTTGTAATAAGACGTTTACACATTTAAGTTATCTGAAAAAACACATGATCATTCACAGTGATGTACACTTCTATGAATGCAATATATGCAATAAGACATTCAAACTTTCAGCTAATCTGAAAAACCACATGGTCATTCACAAGCGTCCCCATAAATGCAATCTTTGCAATAAGACATTTACAAAATTAGGTAGCTTGAAACGTCACTTGCTAATTCACAGTGGAGTTCGTAGCCTTGAATGCAATATATGCAATAAGACATTCACACAATTAAGTAGTCTGAAAAAACATATGTTGATTCATCATAGAGAGAATCCTCATAAGTGCGAAATATGCAATAAAGGATTTACTAAATCGAAGGGTTTGCAGACACACATGGCATTGCATAGACGAAAGCGTAATGAAAATAAATGAAATTTACATATTTGTTACATTGATTTTAAATATTCTGAAAAATGTTATAAATTAAGTACCTTCACCTGTAATAGAATGTATAAATGGTATAAAATATACAGTAAATATCACATAATATGTTTGTATTGACAATCAATGAGAATGTTACATATTATATCATTATATAATTGTTTTTCATATTTTAATTTTCATAAATTATTAATAATGGGAATAACCAAACATTGATTCCGCTTTCATTAGCCATTTTAACCAGCTTTATATTGAGCAGTTGTTTTTGTTTAATAATAATGAAACATGTGAAAAAAATCTAGTGTACTGAACACAATCTAAAAGCTCTACTCAAATATTAATATCACATATTTCATAAGTCAATTTCATAAATAAACTTTTGAAAATTCTTGTAACTAAAACAGTATGGACTTACATGGGTTTCAAAGTTTTGGCAAATTCTTCAACATTTTCAAAATAATTTTTTTTTTCAACATTTTCGAAACAGTATAAAGTTTTTCAAAATTCCAAATTAATATGGGAAGTTTTAGCAATATGCCTTAAGACATGATGCCATGCACCAATAGGTTTAACTAAAGCCCGGTGCACACGACGCCAATATTTCTTGTAAAAGGTTTTCTGGTAAAATGAACAAGAAAATTACGCCAGATTTTCACTTATGTTATGATTAATAATAATTTTGTTTGCATTTTCAAATAGATTATTATAAATATATACTGTGAATTTCACAATTCATATTTTATAGGCATAACATGCACTAATGCTCATAAGTGTACAAATACAAACAGAGCATGTAAACATTAAATATACATGTATCGTATCCGATTAGGATGATTTTATCTCATATTTCTAAGGACTAATTTAAATAATAATAACAACTAGTTGGTTTGGTATTTAGCCTTAAGGCAAGTTACATGAACTTCCCGATATGTTTAAGTCGATTATTTGACTTAATCAATTAAAAATAAATTAATTTATGAGTGATTAAAAGTATCCCGAGTGGATTTATTACACATAATTGAAAACGAACGAACACTTTGACTCGGAGTATTTTCTAAAAGCAAATTTTCAAAAATCAATAATTTTTTATAATTGAACCAGTTTCCACGACTCTATTATGTTCAAGACCAAGTACTCTATCATAGTAAGATCACATGTTTTTATTTTTTACTTGAATTTAAAAAAAAATCCAATTTTTTTTTTTTAAAATGACGATTTTTTGTAGGTACTAAAATACACGTAACGTGTGGTTGGGAAGGGTGCGTAATTTTAAACATCACCAAGGTGTGTGAAAAGCAATCACGTGATTAATAGACGCCCCCTTAACTTAATATTTCATTGGCCGATTTTGCCGGTCAACAGACCAATGTTATGGCAAGGCCATGTTACGCCCCAACTTCCATACATAATGCTACTGAAACATACTGAATACTGTCAAAATGTCATAAATTTGCTGTGCATTCAGGCGTTTTACACATAAACTGCAACGCCACTCGTATGTTATGAAACTGGGTCAGAAACACCCTGTTATTTAAGATAGTTTTTTGAAATTTGTGCGGTTCCAAAGTTAGATTTTGCATCTGACGGCCTCGTAAAAACGCTCACTACCCAGCAACCACATGGGGTAGGACCATTAGAATCTTTTATCAATATTTAGTGTTATTCAGTATTCTTTATAAAATAGCCTTGCTATAGAATTGGTCTGTTATACGGCAGAATCAGTCTACCAATCTCAATACTCATTGATTTTGTATACGTATCGGGAAGTTCGTGCAACTTGCCTCAAGGCAAACTGATATTTACAACTAGTTAACTTCCCGTAGGGCAAGTTATAGTAATCGCAAAAAAATCGAAAATGAATATTTTTGCATTTCTCGACGTTTCTGAACATTTTGGCATACCTTAGTGTGTGCGTGTGTGCGTGTGTGCGTGTATGTATGTGTGTGCGGATACAAATTTTTGTCGACGATTTCGGGAACACGGATCAACCGATTTGAATAATTCAAAAAACATTCGATTCGTATTGATAAGGAGACGTGCTGATTAGTTTTTGGCGAAGGCAGGTCTAGCCGTTCCGAAGATACGGGGCAAAAAGTGCCGAAAACGGTAACTCAGTTTTTAGGAGAACGGAGCGAATAATTCAAAATACATTTTACTTGTATTGACAAGGTGAAGAATTGATCAAATTTTCATGAAGTCAGGTCTAGCGGTTTCGGAGATCTAATGAAAAAAGTAAAATAAAATGCCATTCGGCGGTTAAAATTGATCATTAGACATATGCACATCAAATTATCAGATATTTTATAGAGATTTTAACAATAAGTATAATTTTTTTTTATATTTCTATGGGTTCCGTACCAATGCTTATGCGTTAGATGGCGGCGCGGCACTTGCGCTGTGACATTTCGTCCCTATGCAATTCAAGCAGTGCGATTGCTTTGAAAAAAAGTTCAGAATTTCCAAAATATGTCAAAATGAAGAAAACATTTTTCTTTTCAAAAAATTTTTTGTTTTCAAAAAAAAATCTTTTCTTTCAAAATAAATTTTTTTTTCAAAAAAAGTAATTTTTTGTCAAATTTATAGTTTCTTAAAAATCTAATTTTTTCGAAATAAATTTTTTTCAAAAATGTTAATCGTTTTTAAAAAAATAATAATTTTTGGTACGGGAAGTTCCAGCAATTTGCCTTAAGGCACGATGCCCTAATTGCCTTAAGACAGAATTCCACTTACAGCTAGTTTTTCTTACTATTTTCAGTCCGGCCAGTGGTGTATGTTCACCTGACGCCAGCGTCGCCGCTCATCGAAGCCGACAACGCCACCGTGGATCTGCATTGCCGGGTGCGCGCCGGCAATCCGAATAAGTTGGAGAAAGTGGCGTGGTACTTGGATGGATTTTTGCTCCAGGAACTGTCCAGTTGCAATGATACAGTTATTGATGAAGGTAAACACGATTAATGCATTTTCATAACTTTTCTTTAACTTTAGATAAACATTTCAAGGTTATACATGGTAGTACAAATCATGATTTAATAAAAAATGACTGAATCAGAAAAATATTTTACCCTGTTCCCCGTAAATATTTACAATAAAGATAATAAAACAAATGAAACATTTGTATCGTATACTAAACGTGAGTTTATGAAATTATTTCTATATTATTCGCAGTTTCTATATATTTTTGAAGTTATTAAAATGGAAAATATTTTTTAGGCAAGACAGATATTACAGCTGCTCAAAGAATGATTTTATATCGCCAGAAAAAAAGTAAAAAAAATACAAGCAGTCAATGAATGTATGTTAATTTTAATTACATGAAGTTCTTCAAACACAATTATTACATGATGAGTGAAGTTGCGAAAACAATATTTCTTTAGGCGTTGTTTGACATAATCCGCTGTGTGAACGAATATTATAGAATTTATTAATCAAAAAAAAAATTATTTTTTTAATGAAGGTTCAAGTCTTAAATGCTAATTACAATGACAAACCGATCATGTCATATTTGAAGTCAGAGGCGTAACTAGCGCCGTATCAGCAGTATCAAAAATACGGGGCCCCCGAGCCGAGGGGGCCCCAAACGAGCGCAATCAGAAAGCAAAACAACAAGTTAAAAAAAAATTGAATAATTTTAATGTAGTTTGCATTTCCTTTTGTTATCGAAAGGTATTGAATTTAAGCTAACGTACATCCGATAAGTTAATATTCTTGTCAACAAATCTATAAAACTAATTCAGATTTTACATTCTTAATCGAAAATTGGAATTTATTGAATTAGTTTGTTAAAGAAGTCCAAATAATATGCAAAAAAGATGGACTGCAATAACTATTCTAAAGAACAAAAAACAAAAGATAATGAAGCGTTATTATGATGAGTTATCATAATATTAGAAAATTTTAGACTCGAAATCTCATTTCATTGTATACTATTGCTGTTTGGATATTCATTAATTTTACAAAGCAAACAAAGATTTTAAAACCTTTGCCACATAAGTAGTAACATTTGTCTTTTTGAAATCGAGAATTATTAAACATTTCCGAAAAACAGTCGACTGAATTACTGTAAAGAAATACTTTGAAGTATGAAGTTTTGAATACAGAAATCTAAGAAATTTATTTCGTTAAGGTTTAAGGTTTAAGGTAAAATTTCGTTAATCATTATATGATAGGATGCAATAGACTTGCATCCAGTTTTCTCAACGAAATAACAGTATGCATTTTATTCTTGGCCCTTCCAGTTACAATCGCAACTGCTAAAAAAAAATTAAAATTAAAACTAATTAAAAATTACGTAAAGATTTTAAGACAGAAAGATCTACTAGACCTGTATGTTCATAGAGACAGAAACTTTATAAAATTTAAAGATCACTAAATAATTCAGTTTTTTCAAAAAAAGACAAGGAGAGTGAATATATATCTGGAATCATTTGTGAAAAATTCAGAAAATTAAAAAAAATTAGATAGATAAATAAATATTCTTCTAATTTTATGTATTTTTATATTTTGTAAAAAAAAACTTCTTCTTGAGGGGGGGCCCAAACGAATTTTGATACGGGGCCCCGCCGAGGCACGCTACGCCCCTGTTTGAAGTATGACTTTAGTTACATTTTTATATCGAATATAAATATTAAGTATAATGGTTGACACTATTAAATGTGTGCATCACAAGTGTTGCCATATTACTGATAAACGTTATTTAAAACTAGCCGACCCGACAGACTTTGTCCTGTCAAAAAAAATTGTAATGTGGCGGTGTTTAGTTCCTACCTTTTTTCTATTCTTTGCAAAAAATTATCCCGAACAGAACCGTCACCCTGGTAATAACTCGGTGTGAATTAAGAATAATTAGTAAAACACTATAAGCATTTAAAAGTAAGTAATTTTAATCATGCAAATCATAATTCAAAATTCAGTTCAATTTTCATTGTAGTGCTTTGTGATAAACGATGTTTTTTATTTGATTATCTGTCGCATAGACAAACAAATCTGATGGTTTTCCAATACGGGAACAGACAACATACATTTTTCCATGTGAGAAACATGGATTTTCCAAATTAATACCACAAACACTTAATGATACCATAAACGCACTGTAAACTGCATTCGTTTAATCTCAAATGACACATCAGTCGGAAACATTGGGATGCACGTTGCGAGAACTTCTGCTTTATACTATCATTTCAATATAGTTGCTTCCATCACGTTGTTTGGTAGTTTTTTTATCGCTAACCTTCGAATTTGCAACCGTTGCAAAGGCGCGGTTGGTCGATATTTTGCAACATTATAATTGCCGATTCAACATTTAATTGAATATTGTGAGATGACAATCCTAGCAAATCCAGCAAGTTTAAAAACTCCGGTGGATCGTCTTGGTTAGTTGCCGAATCAACTGATTCGCCTCTAATTTGTTCTTGAATTTTGAAATTTAATTCATTTACATCAATGCTTTTGGCTGCCAATATAGCTCGTTAATTAATAGAAAGATAATTACATGTTTATATAAATATATTAAAAATTAGATTATCAAAAACCACACAAAATGTCATGACATCGATCATTGTTTTTTCTACAAATTTCGTTGCCTACTCGATTAAAGAAAAACAGGGCTGTTTTTAGGGTTTTCCCGGCAATTATTTGATTTTTTCTCGCCGTAAGAACCATCCTTGGACATGAACGAACATTTTAAAAAAAGAATTGGCCAAATTGGTCCAGGCGTTGTTGAGCTATGCGCTTACCAACACATTTTGCGATCCATTTTTATATATAAGATAAGATTGTTATATGATGTATTTATTTTTACTTAAATGCCATCTTGTACAGTATCAAATTAGTTTTACTTCAATCCCGTGTGAACCTCACGCGCATTCTTTTTTTTTAATTGTGTACTCTACAAATGAACTTCTATGAGATTTATTTTACTATTATTTTAATTAATACGCTTATGGTATTAAAATAACGTTTCACAAAATACAAATATAATATTTTCTAATATTATTAACTTTAAATCAATCTTTTCTTTCCCAGATGCGCAATGTGTGAACCCAGAAATCCTGCAACTCGTTGAGGTCAAACGCACCTTCCATGGTAACTATTCCTGTTCAGGGTTCACAACGGCTGGTTGGGGCGAAGTTAGTGCTCCAACAGAATTACTGGTGTATTATGCTCCTGGAAGTGCATCTATTGCTTTGGCTTCACCACACGATGTCCCTGTCAAAGGTCAAAGTGTGACCTTAACTTGCTCGTTGAAGGATAAAGGGCGGCCAGTTACTACCAGGTGAGAATGACTGATGAATGATTGACAAATATTAGATTTTTTCTTATGATGTGAATAAAGATTTCTGGATAAGTCTTGTTTAAGTCTGCAATATTGTGTTTAATGATGTTTGATACCAAATTTGATAATTGTACCTTACAATTTGGTATTGACCTCAATATTTTGGTAAACACAATTGAGCAGAATTGTATTGAAACTTTGAATTGCTTCACCTTAACCCATTCCTTAATTTATAATAATTATCAACTTCCCGAAGGAGAAGTTTGTTTTTATCAAAAAATGCGATTTGCTAATTTTATGTTTTCTCGACGTTTCAAGCCATTCTGAATCGAATGAGACCGAATTTGAAAATAGTATGTGCCTGTGTGTATTGGCATGTGAACAGATTTTTTACTGTAAATCGACGTTTTCTCAAAAACGGCTGGACCGATTTCAAAAATTCAAAAGCTATATTCGATGTATCTCGATGAGGACTAGCGTTTATCAATTTTGCGCAACGATCAGCCAAGCCGTTTCTTTGTAAATAGCAGAAAAGTAAAAAATTTTTCGTCCACGTTCTAGCCTGCAATTCTGAATCGATTTTGAAAATTGAAAAATTGTTTGAAATATATTGGTTGGGAATCGACCCGATTAGTTTTTGGTAAAGATCTGCCGGGTCGTTTTCTTCTAATAAAGTGTTAAAAAAATTTTCGACGATTTTTATGATTTTTTATGAAAGATACCATAGTCTTATAGATCATACTAAAATATTACGGCCCTACGATAAGTCGTTTAATTTAAAAATGCGTCAAAGTTTGCAAAAATTTGTATCGTTTTTTTTGCGTTTATTATAATTAGAATTTTCATCGACGTTTGCTTAAAAACGCCTGAACCGATTTCAAAAGTTTAAAAGTCAATCGATGTATCTCAATGAGGACTATCGTTTGTCAGTTTTGTGCAACGATCTGCCAAGTTTTTTTTTTGTAATTTGGAAGAAAGTGTTAAACTTTTCATACACATTTAAGCTCATACTACTGAATCGATTTTAAAAAACCAAAAACTGTTCGAAAAATATCATTTGGGAATGATACTGATCAGTTTTAGGTGAAAATCTACCGAGCCGTTTTCTTGTAATTAACTGTTGAAAAAAAAATTGAAGCCAATTTTTATGAAACATTTTTGGCGATGTATATATAAATTAGAGATGGGTAACTTACTCCGGAGGTATCACTCCGATACAACTCCTCCCTCGGAGTGAATCCGAGTGGAATTGTTTCACAGGATTTGTCATATCCAACTTCCCTAAATTGGTATTAAATCTGTTAACTCGTGCAGACATTTACTGTTTTTGGCGTTTTTGCTTTGGGTTTTATGACCTTTTAGGTATAAAACTCAAAATAATATCATTGTGTATTTTCCAGAAAATACAAAAATATCACTTCAAAGATGAAATTGTGTACAAGTGTGAATAGATCAAATGTATAATTTATTGAATAGTAAGGGGTCATATTTCTAACTACGACAATCTTTGGCCGTGATTACAATACAATAAAAAATAATTCTAATGTTATCAGTAATTATTTGCAAAATACTAATCCTTTACCCATGCGCCAAATTGCTGAAATAGATGCACTATTGATCGAGATGATTGCAAAAGAATATGAGAGACTGAATTTAGAATGTTGAAATGCTTAAAATCGTGACTTTTTATAATAATATCAACAAATATGTTTGAATTGTGTAAGAAAGAATTTCAAATAATTGAGATTTCACAAATCTTTAGATACATAAACAACGCACTATAGAAAACATTTGTGTCGAGTATTTCGGTTTCAAAGTTATCGGAGTCGCGGAGTTGTTAAGCGGATAACTCCACCATGAAGCGGAGTCAAATCCGAGTCGATCCGGCTTCGGATATGATAAGCCCATCTCCAATATAAATATATATATATATATATATATATATGTATATATCATGGTCTTATAGAACTTACTGAAATATTACTGCCTTACGACAAGTAGTTTAATTTTAAAAATTCATCAAAGTGTTAGAAAATGAGTAGTTTTTTTTTAATCTTTGTTAAAATCAAAATTAGACGATTTACTTGGTATAACGATAGAGTACTTGGTCTCAATGCACATACTAAACCATTAAAGTCCTACGGAAACTGATTCAATTATAAAAATTATTGATTTGTGAAAATTTGCTTTTAGAAAATACTCCGAGTTAACGTGTTCGTTCGTTTTCAATTATGTGTAATAAATCCACTCGAAATACTTTTAATCGCTCATAAATTATTTTATTTTTTATTGATCGAGTCGATTAATTACCCATATCGGGAAGTTCATGTAACTTGCCTCAAGGCTAAATACCACTTTCAACTAGTTTTAAATTATTTTTATAGATTTCGATGGTTACGAGGAAACCAGCTGATCAACGATGTAGTAACACCAAGTTGGACAATCGACCCAGTAACTTTAGATTCTCGCAGCAATATTTCTTGCTACGGCCACAATGAAGGAGGAGATGGACAGATGGCTACCATGTTCCTGAATGTCCTTGGTAAAATTTTAACTAAGACCTATAACACTAACCGAAGAAAATATTTTTCATTTTATTTGTTGACTTGCAGCTCCACCAGCTTTTATAGCAACTCTTTTGCCATACAGTGGAGCTTTATACAATGCTCCTAGTTTTAGCCTGTCTTGTCGAGTGGAATGTTATCCAGCCTGCAAAATCCATTGGTTAAGAGATGGAGAACATATTGAATCTACTGATGAGAAATATGCAGTTACCGAATCCAGAATGGGCGCACATCCTGCTGCAGGACATTTTGAGAGTGTCACTTCTACTCTGGTAAGTAATAATAACATATTGATTAGGAGACTTGGGTCGTAACGATATAAAACGTTAATTGTTTCAAAAAAAGAGTGCGGGTCGAAGTAAAACTTTTTTGCTATTGTACAAAATGGCATTTAAATTAAAAATAAATACATTATATAACAATTTTGAATAATGTTTATTAGTAATATAGTAACACTCGTGATGCACACTTTTTTTAATCTCAACCATTATACATATTTATATAGTAAAAATTATCAAATATATATTTATAATACCATTAAAAATACTTATAATACTTGAAAGCAATAATGTAATTGGTCATACTTCAAATACGACATGATCGGTTTGTCATTGTAATTAGCATTTAGGACTTGAACCTTTATTACAAAAATAAAATATCTGCTTGTTAATAAATTTGTTTACAATATTTGTTTACACAATGAACTTATAACAATCTTGAATAATTCCATTAAAACTATCAATAAATAAACTGCATAGATATCCAATATGAAGTATATCTGTTTATAAATGATACACAGCTGCACAAACTATTGTTGTGCTTGATCTCTTGTTTAGAGTAATATATCTGAGTAATTAGCATTTAGAACTTGATTCATTTATTAGAGAAATGAAGTAATTGCTGATTGATAAATTCTATAATATTTGTTCACACAGTGAACTTACATGCCATCTTGAAAAATTTTATTGATACTATCAATAAATAAAGTGCATGGATGTCAATTATGAAGTATATCTGTATATAAATGATGCACAGCTACACAAACTATTGTTGTGCTTGATCTCTTGTTTAGAGTAATAAATTTGAATATCAATTTAATCTTCATTTTTTATAAAAATATGCAACTTTGTAATACTTAATAGCCATCATCATCGAAAAACATGTAGACTTCCTCTAAACTTCCAAAAGTGTCTGAGATATAATTCTGAAAAAGATATGTCTTTGGCATGATATAATAAAGCAGTACTGCTTTAATATTTTTTAATATCTATAAAAATGCAGAGAATTATTATGTTAAACAACGCCTGAAGAAATATTGTTTTCACGATTTCACTTGTCATGTAATTGTGTTTGAAGAAAAATTACCATACATTCATTAACTTGTTGTTTTTTTTAGTTTTTTGCTGGCAATACAGTTTCATCCTTTGAACAACTGTAATATATAGTTACCAATAATACAAATATATAGTGACGAATAATACAAATTATTTCAATAAACTTACATTTTTTACACGTCAGATTTTTTATTTGTTTTATTATTTTCGGTATACAATCAAAGCAATCATACTCACGCGACACGACGACCAATCACAATCGACTCATGTAGTAATGATATCATCGAGAGCTAATGGGCATTTGTACAGATTTACACCCTAGTCGAGCCTAAAGAACTTTTACTTCAAAAATAATTAAATTAATGTTAGTTTATTTATTTCAACTTTGTCATGTAATGGACAGTGAAACACTGATTTGAGGGTTTGTTCAAGATTTTTTGAAGTAAAACTTCTTTAGGCGCGACTAGGGTGTAAATCCGTATAAATGCAACGGAAATGAGTTACGGCAGATAAGAGTCGATAAGATAAGAGTCGAGTGCCAATGATTCGTCATTCGCTCTCGATGATTTCTCATTTCTATACGGGTCGATTGTGATTAGTCGTCGCGTATGTAAATAAAGTTCTGTCGTTGTATGCGTACTGGCATCAACGATGTATTAACAAAGAAATCGGCATAGATAAATAAACTTTTAAAGTTACATCGTAGTACAAATCTTGATTTAATAAAAAATACGTGAATCGAAGTGAATATTTTACCCCGTTCCTTGAAAATAATAAAACAAATTAAACATTTGTACCGTAAACTAAACTTAAGTTTATTGATTAGAGATTATTTTTATATTATTCGTAGTTTCTATAAATCTTAGAAGTTATTAAAATAAAAAATATTTTTAAGCAAGACAGATATTACAGCTGTTCAAAGAATGAGATTATGTCGCCAACGGAAAAGTAAAAAGATACAATCAGTCGATGAATGTATGTTAATTTTAATTACATGAAGTTCTTCAAACACAATTACATGATGAGTGAAGTTACGAAAACAATATTTGTTTAGACGTTGTTTAAAATAATCCACAGTATGAACGATTTTATTAATTAGCAATTACTTCATTTCTCTAATGAAGAATCATTACTAAATGCTAACTACAATGACAAATCAATCATGTCATATTTTAAGTATGACTTTAATTACATTATTGTTTCTAAATATTATACATATTTTTAATGCTATCATAAATATATAATTTCTAATTTATCAATATATAAATGTGTATAATGGTTGACACTATTAAATGTGCCCCACTAGTGTTACCATATTACATTATAATAAACATTTTTCAAAATTGTTACATGATGTATTTATTTTTACCTAACTTAAAATTGCTACTTTGTACAGTAGCGTTTTACTTTGATCTCGAGTGATCCTTACGCGCACTCTTTTTTTTAACTATTTGTTAACTTGACTTGCAGAAATTTTATAACAAAACTATGATTTTATTTTTTATTCTATTATTAGCATTGGAACATGACAGCCTGGCCAGAACATCGTTTGGACCCGGAAACAGATGGTGGTAACTACAGTTGTGTCAGTTCCAGAAACGAAGCTGGCGGGCCAGTTTCTTCTACCACTTTAGTGGCCATCGAATATCCTCCACAAAATGTACAATTAAGTGAAACTAGAATATCTGTTATTGAAGGACAAATTCCAGCCAGAGTAGTCTGCAGCACCAAATCCCAACCAGGTAAATTGGTAGTTCAAATCTTTGCATCAACCTAATGACGTGTAAGATCAATGAGTTGAAGTAGAAATTACTCAAAAATAATCACTTATTTTAAAATATTTTGATTTGTTAATATTTCAAATAGCTATTTTACTAAAAAAAATTCTTACAGAGGCATCATATGTATGGAAGAGAAATGATGAAATCGTAGCCAAAGGAAACAGTTTAATCCTAAACAATCCAGTGAATCGAGGTGGAGATGGCGAATATGTTTGTGAGGCCACAAACAAACATGGTACTGCCACTGGAGCAACACATTTAAATGTTTTGTGTGAGTATAAATAAATTTTAATATTTTTTGATACACAATCTAATATATGAATTATCATGATTATATTTTTAGAATCTCCTATAGATTTTAAGACCATATTATATTTATCTATAATAAGTAATTATTATTAAAATGATTTATCAAATTATTAAACTATTATTAAAATATATCATCATTAGTCTAAAATTTTAATGCAAATTAATTTAAATTCACATTTTTCTCCATTTGTTCACAGTTAAACCTGAATGTGTCATCACTCAAACCGAAGTGGATGGATCACCAGCATTGGCTTGTACTGCTATCTCAAATCCAACTGAGGTAAGTTTACAAAATTTATTACAAAAAGTTTATTAAATTGTACTAAATTAACAAAATATGACCACAATAAATAAATTATCGGATAATTTGACCTTGACTATTTACAACTAGTTTACTTATATAAGCTTCTTACATATGAGAAGTCAACTAGTAGTGTAAGGTATCGTGCCTTAAGGAGTAACTTCCCGTACTAAATTTTTTTTTTTGTAAAAATTTTTTTTAAATCTTTGAATAAATTAGATTTTTGAAAAAAATTAAATTTTCGAATAAAATTGACGCGAAATTGAAGATTTTTTTTATTGTGAAATATTTTGGAAATTTTGAACTTTTTGTCAAAGCACTCGTACTGCTTTAGCTGCATAGAGATGAATTATCGAAGCGCGTAAGCGCCGCGTCGCCATCTAACGGACAAACGATGTTACGGAACCCATAAAAGTGTAAACAAAATTGATACACATTATTAAAATCTCTATAAAATATATGATAATTAGATGTGCATATTGAACGATGTGCGTTCAATTGCGTGTACGTTCAGTATTCTAACGTTTGTCATAGCTATCATACTTTCAATCCTACATCATTTACCTAATATGTATATCTAATTTATTAGACTTATACAAAACTTATACGAATAGACCACTGGACCGCCACTGTCCTTGCGTGTCGCCACGTCGCCTTTGTATATATTATGTATTTTATACTTGTTTGATTTTATTTATTTGTGATGGCATTTTACATATATCAAAAATCAACTGAATCAATAAATAGTCACATAGATAGAACATTTTGCAATTTTACTACATTTTTCCTACCGAAAATCGACCTATACCACTGGGCCACCATTGTCCTCGCGTGTCGTCGGGTCACATTTGTATATATTTTGTTATTTATACTTGTATAATTTCATTTATGAACTAGGTGTAAATTTTACACATATAAATAATCAACTTCAAGAGTATTTTACACGACTCTTTTATAAACATCATTAATATTTTATAATTGTTTTCATTTATCTTCTTCTCTTCAATAAATTAATCTGTTTTTCATTTGTTGATTTTAGTATGCCATCGCGCGCTCGGTTTTATGTAAATGTTTAGTACTGTGTCAAGCATTGTAAAATATAGTTTCTTTGTCAAAAATATAATATTAAATAAAATAAAAAATAAAAATAAAATAAATAATGTATTAGTATATAATTTTCACTACGCAAGCACTTATCGAAATATATCATATCTGGATCCGTCGCAACCGTAAAATTTAATAAATAACTTGTTTTTTTTCTCATACAGATTTTTTGTTTCTCCACACAAATATATATTTCTGTGTTTTTTTCTTATATCAGGTGGATTTCTCGTGGCAAATGAAACTAGACAACGAGACAGTTCCCGCCTGGGACGCCTACTCCCGCGGGATCGTATCCCATTTAATCCTGGATGACTCGATCGAAAGTTTTCGCACTTACATATGTGTCGCCAACAATAGTGTCGGTGTAGGAATCGCCTGCGAGAGGGACGTTCTAGGTAAGAAATTTAAGATTTATTTTGTTTTGATGTTTGAAATAAAATTTAACAGCATGATGTTATTTTCGACTAAATTACGTATATTTACTTCAATAAATAAGCACGGATTAAAAAAACGAATTTTAGGAAAATGTTGCTGTTTTATGGTCCGAGTTCTAAACTTGCTATAAAGTTATGAGTTCTTGCCATGAATATGAATCTTGCCTATAATTACTTTTACTAGTTCTTCATTGATAACTAAATCATTTTACGAATTTATTGTTTGTAAGGTTGTAAGTGCATCCAATACGACATCTTCTTTTATAATTAAATATGTAAAGAATACCCTAATAGATATTATATCAGTAATATCATTTAGGGCAAGGTTGCTCAACCGTCTAAGTTGCACCTGGGATAAATTTTGTTTGATAACTATAAATTTATTACCGATAAAAAATTTCAATACCGGTATTTCGATATTTTCGCTTTAAAAACCGGTAATACCGGTAAAATATATCTATATTAATATTATTTAAAAAAATGTAAACAAAGTTTCACCATACTTTCAGAAAAATCTAACGTATGTATGAGAAAGATCAAAGACTCTTTAAATAAAGGTCATACTAAATTATTGTTATATAATAATTTATTATTAGAGCTTAAAACAAGGAAAATAATAATATATTTGCTGAGTTTTTTTTAAAACAATATAATGGTTATTTTTAAACTGCTATACATTTTACGTAAAATAAAACAATGTTGAATTTTCTATTTCTTGAGATTAAATTATAATTTGTTTGTTATGATTATTATGTATAAGAAAGTATTTATTAAAAGATAATTATAATAATTTACCACCATGATTAAATCTTTTAACCTGTTCAGGATATAAAAAAAAATCTCTTACTAAAAGATACTCTCTTACTGAATTACTAATTACTTATTTGAATTTTGATAGCATTAAAAAATTGGTTTTATTAATTTGTGTCAATAACACTTTTTGTGATTGAGATGTTTGCTATAATATTATTTAATGTCTGATATTATTTTTTTGCATGATTGTTTTTCAACATCTAATTATAATGTGTTATTAATGTTTTGTTAATTTTTTTGTATATTTTTATGTTTATATTTTTGTGTGGTACTAATCGCATATTTTTGTCTTTCTTGCTTGGCAGTCAATGCTGATAGAGTGCGTAAGTATATTATTATTTTAATATTCTTATTTTTATCATAGTAAGTTAGAGCATATCAATAAATAATAATCATAAATATTTATATATATACAATTAATTTCAATATTATTTGTAATTTACATTCTAATTTGATAAAGCTACATTTGTAGATGCAGCTGATTATCTGCAAATCTCTGATTATTACTAGTAATAATAGTTGTATAGTAGTTTTATATTATTTTATAGTTTTATCTCTTTTATTACCAGTTTACACTTTTACAAGGACAGCCTCAATTTGTAAAACTATCTATGGTATTTATTTATTTATTTTACAAGCCGTCATTGAAATGGTATTATAATAAGGTTCATGTCAATATTTCATAAATTTTATATAATTTAATTAATTAATATTTTAATAAGTATAGATATTTTTACAATATAATTATTTTGTTTAACAATTTTTTGGTTATTTTATGATATATTAAAATTAGTAGCGAATTAAGTAAAATAAATGCCTTAAAAATCAATTGAGCAATAAATCTTAATTAGTACATTATCTTAAAATAATTCAACAGCCCGTTACGTTTTTAAGGCAAAAATGTCTGTGCGCCTTCTAGATTACGTAACCGCTAGGTTCGACGTTACATCCGTTACGTTATAATAACGTTTTAATTACGTTTTGTGGTTTATCTCGGTTATGGCATGGTTTTGCCATTGTTACCATTGTTATTCCATTTGCAAACCCTTTAGTATTATATTTATGTATCAATTGTATCATGTACTCTTAAACTATTTTTAATCCAAATTTTAAAACAAATATAGAGTCACATAATTTTTTTTAAAATATTTTTTAAATTTTGCAGGAAGTGTAGCTTGGTGGAAACGATGGGACAAGGAGACAATAATCATATTTGTAGCTGCAGTCATTGGATTAGTTTTGGCAGTTCTGATAGTTTGCATCCTTATCATTATAATTTGCAGAAGGAAGAGACATAATGAAAAATGTAAGTACTTTATAATATATTGAAATATAAATTTTAATTTTATATTACTCGTGAAACCTTAAGCCCGGCAAACACAAAAGTAATGAAAATTTTTAAGCTTGAAAATATGATTTAATATTTTTATTGATAATGGTAATATATATAATTTATGGTAAATTTTTTACGCTAAAAATAATGATAAATACCTAAAATATTTTCACAAAAAGTTTAAAATTACAATTAAGTTAAATGTAGAAAATGTAATATTGTTTCTTTGTACTCTCATACGACAATTATTGTTTTTGTGGAATTTTGCACCTGATGATTTTTTCCTGAATCTACAATCATTAACAATTTTTTAGTGAGTGATTTTGTTATTATTTTAAATATTTTTTATTTATACGTGTTCTATGTTTATATATGGAACATCTGACATTGAAGCCGTATGTTTTCATATATTTTTGTGTCAATCTCGATGTTTTTTTGTATATTTGTTTAAAACTTTTGACTATAACAATTATTTTTCTGTATTTAACCATGATATAATATTGTAATTTTATAATAGTTTGCCATAATAGTTTGTCCTAATACTGTATTATGTTCGAAAATAATGCTATTCAACTCTTACTATATTATTTTTAACTGTTTTTATGTAACCAATTGTGAAATAATTTAAATTTTAAATATTCCATGTGCAATTAATTTATATGTTTATTTTTTAACATACTGTGTTTGTCCCTCATCGAATCATACTACTTGTTGAATTTTTTACTTTATTTTTGTAATTAAAAATATGCATAAATTATTTATTTATCCTAGAAATAACAGTATTCATCACATTTTTAACCCTTTCCACTCGGATGCCGCCGCTCTGGCGTCAAAATTCATATAAATCTCGGAATTCGCGAGTGAAAAGGGTCAATATTCATTTTAATTTCATGATTTATAGAGCTATAATAATACATTATAAAATTGTGTATTTACATACGAGGTCTGTTCAAAAAGTACCCGTGATTTTTACTTTATTTTTCAGAATGAAAATATGCATACATTTTCTATTCATCCCAGAAAACACATATTTAATACTCATTTTAATATTTAGATTTATAGACCTATAATAATACTATCATATTTAATTTAATTTTACCATGTTCGTTATAAACCTTTGTAAATAATTAGATCATTAATTTACTTAGATTTTACATCATTTTTCTTTGATTTTGCTCTTTAAATTTAATGAAAAATAAACATAAAATTCACTTTCAAAATACTTTTTCTAATTAAATTAAAATTTTAATAAAATAAAGATTTTTTAGTATCTGAGGTATGTTGTCTTTAATTCAGTTTTTTAGAAAATGGATATTGATTGAGAAATTTTCAAAAGAAATTTTGATCTAAAATTATTTTTCCTAAATAGTAGAAACTAAGATAGTGTGCATATGCACATTATTTTTATTTGCGAATTCACTAAAATTATATTTAACCCTTTCCACTCGCGAATTGCGAGATTAATATGTATTTTGCCGCCGGCATCCGAGTAGAAAGAGTTAAACCATAATATTTTGATTATTTATGCATATTTTCAACTAAGCTAGTTGCATCATGTTCATCATGCCTTTACAAATAATTTATTTCTAACACGCCATTATTTGTTTTATTTGCTCACTAACAAGCAAGAATACTAACATTATTTTGTTTTCTCTCATTTTTCACAAAACACAGATCATTCGACGATTAACTACGAAGACAGGCAAAGGTGGGTAAAATTTTACTTATTTTTTACTTACTCATATTTGAAATTCATTGCACGTTTTTATTATAATTGACAATATACATAATTCCGTGTCTAACATAAACATAACAAAAGTTAATTGGCCAAATATTTTTAAAAAATCAGCAAATTTTTGTGAATGGACCAAGAAAATATCTTGGTTATACATACATTAGTGAGGTCTTCGATATGGATATTTTCGAAATTTATTGCTCCCAGGGGCTTCAATGCTTCCAAATTGACAAAAAAAATATCTAGAAGTTTTAGCTCTTAATATTAACTTTTAGATAGTGCGCAATTCAATCAAAGATAAAAGTGAAAATTCGTGTCATCTTTTATTGAAAATTCGATGCTCTGCAAAACAGGTTTTTTATAATTTGTTTTGTAGAGCGTCGAATTTTAAATAAAACTCATTCATTTGTTCGCTAAGTTATATCTAAAAAAACATTTTTTAATTTTTTGAAAATTTTCCTCTGCTATTTTCATACAAAACTTCGATTGAATTGCGCACTATCTAAAAGATAATATTAAGAGCCTAAACTTATAAAGTATTTTTTTTATTAATTTGGAAGCATTTTAGCCCCTGGGAGCAAAGAAATTCTAAAATGTACATTTTAAGGACTAATATACTTAAACTAAATTTGCTCTACACTCCAATATAACAATAATTGTTTGTTTTTTTTTTTTTAAATTAAATTGAAATTAATATACGACTCTTTAACATCATATTCATATATAAAAAACATGATGAGAAAACGGACAAAAATATAAATATTGCATTACTAAAGAACATTCTACATAATATATATTTATTATTTTGGTAATAAATTTTTACAATACTAAATTATTTTCTTTATGTAAAAAGATCATTTCTCTACCTGACATATCAATTTTAAATGTTAATTCATTACTTGAAATTAGCATTTTGAAAATGAGCTATATTTGTCTACTTTTTCTGACTAATTACATTTATTTTTTTTGTGCACAATTCACCACAACATTTTTTAGGAATATAATTGTTGTTTTTACATACTTATATTTAATCAATTCAATAATGTTCTAAATATTTTTAATAGCAACATTTAACTCTTTTGCTACGAGAACGTTTCTCTTAGAAATGACACTGCTGTATGGGTCAAAAGCCGCCTAATTTGTTACGTAATATATTTTATTAGAGATTTTCCTATCAGTATTAATAAAAATAAAATTTTAACAATTTAACTTAGGGGGATCAAATTTTACATGAAAGTTTGATGTCTATAGACGATACATGCTTGATGTCGTCCTTAGACGACACATGATTGATGTCTTCTATAGACGACACATACTTTATGTGGTCTGTAGACGATACATACTTGTCTAATACTAATTCCAACAATTCAAATTAGAGTGATCAATTTTGAAACGAAAGGTTGGTGTCTTCTATAGAAGACGCACGATTGATGTCGTCTATAGGCGATGCTCGTACACACAGGTCGTCGAGCGGATGTCGTCTATTTGCGACGCTTGTAGCAAAAGGTTTAAAATAGCATGTTTATCTATTTTTACTTTAGATGATGTTTGTTTAATGTTGCATGTTGTTTCTGATGTTTAACTCATACTCTTGTTCTTAATCATACTTGGGATCGTTTCCATGAATTCAGTAAATCACACAAAAAAATAATTTTATTAATTGGAGAGATTAGCAATAAATTGTGCAACAGTCTACTTCTACTACTCAAACTCTGACAATCATGTATCTATTACCACTAGTCCCGAAGGATATCCTGATCCAAGTTCCGTAAACGTAACTTGCATGACCGATGAATCACTACTAAGTCCTGGATCACCAAACATCAACGACACCAGCCGCCAAAGTCTACAGCCCCTAAATTCACCAAAAAGTCCAGTATCAACAGTTGCGCCCTTGGTCATCCCAAGTTCGCCTCCGAGATGGCCCTTAAGGCCAGGAGTGCTGGTCCACGTAAAACGCAATTTCAGGGCAGATAATGCCGCCAATATAATGCCAGGAGACGCCAATCTATCCAGAGAAGATGACAGTAATGTAAATGATGATGATAAAGATAAAGTTGGAGATTCCAAGCCACCAGTTGCTAGAGATTTGAATTTTGGGAAGAGAAATGGTGGTATGTTCTCGTCCTTTGTACATGCTATTAAATGGACGCCTAGAAAAGATGGAGAGGCGGAAAATGATGAAAACGCTAATGATTTGCCGGGATTGGTTAGGCTGGAGAATGAAGGTGGGTTGTAAATAATAACTAATCGAAAATTAGCACTTTTATGATGGTCTCAATCAATCATGCTACTTTGAACACCTTTGCAAAGTATATACTTATTGGTGAACAAAATTTTATCATAACCAGTGATGAATGGCATTGTGCCTTAAGGGGGTATTCTAGTGTAGAACGATGAATTTTAGGTCATTTTTAAAGTGTCGTAAAATAACGCAATGAATATTTTTACTATCCAATTTTTTATTAATATTATTAAAATACTATACAAAAATTAAAAAATAAAGTTGAAAATTGAAGAAACTGGCAGCTGATGAAGTGGGGGGTCTCAAAAAATTGGCACCTCAGTCTTGACATGATTTCAGCCCTTCTAGTCATCCGAAATAAAAGAAATAAAAAGATTATTAATCTACAATGGTGTCGCAATCGCCCGAACTAATGATGAATAATTTTTTTTTTTTACAAATTGGCGACTGTTTGAAAAAAGGTGTCTTTTTTACTGTTTTTTTTTTGTGTTTCTCGAATTTTTTAAATATAGTAAAAATTGGAATTTGGGGGTGATGCTATTTCGGGCTACATATAGGTCTACAAACAAGACTCTCTGAACATTTCAAATGAATCGGTCGAGGAGAACTCGAGAAATCGTGTCAACAGTACTGAAAAAGGCTGTTCTGAGAAAAACGCATTTAAAGTTTTGCGTCAAAGTGATAAAATGATATGTTATACTTATTTTATTTAATCTGCCATTCCTGCTTGATGCATCGGACCTTCTTCTAGTTCAAAAAAACTATTTTCTGCCTTTCTTCCAATGGAGCAGTTCTAGGCTTCTTTGAGCCTCCTTTAAAGCGTTGCATTGTCTCGTTTTATAGCAAATGAATGAGTTTCTGGCCCAATTTGCATTCCCATAAGGGTCATCATTTTTAAAATCGGAAAGAATCTTTCATTGAATATGCAAACAGCAATAAATGTTGTTTTTCTAATACCCGAGATCGGGAATGAATATTTTTCGGCGGGAAAATCCAAATCGAGTTTAGAGATTCATTATTGTTCCGAGTTTCTGAACCTATACATTGAAATAATAATTCATCTGACGATATATTGTCTTAAATTGGTCTAATGACGACTTCCTAATGCCTTTTGTCCGATTAGACCCTGCCAAACCAGTTTGGTGACCGAGTCAGCAAAATGCCTATATCTCCGAAAATATTTCAAATTTTCAAAAACCTTCTCGTACCCATCATACTCTTAGATATTTAAACTTTGAAAATATGAAATTTAAAAAAAATCGATTTTTTTGAAATTCTACACTAGAATACCCCCTTAAGGCAAATTGCGGGAACTTCCCGTACCATAATGAAATATTCAAGGAATAATAAATGTAGTAAAATCACCTATTTATATGCGTTCTCCAAAAAAAATTATATCATAGTTTCCAAAAAGGTTTGAATGATCTTTTAGAAGAAATCATCTTATAGCAAATAATCTTACAGCTTAATATATGCAAAGAAAATCTATTTATGTCGATCTTACTGTTACAAAATAATTATATTACATAATGAATATATTAAAATAATGAAAATTTTATACATCTTACCATATGAAAGTGCTAATTTTACCAAAGGCAAAATTCTTCTTCATTATTCTTCTCCATAAATTTATTGGAGTAGCATAATTCTCTACAATTTTTTAAAAATTTTATTAATTTTTGCATGTTTTTTATTTGTTCATGTCGCATGTATGTTTATATTTGTTATATGTTACTTGTTTGTTTATATGTTTTGTTCAATTTTTGTATCAATGTGCAGTTATCAGCTTTAAGAAAGTTCAATCTACTAACAAACCAACGACTGGAGTTGATTCCGATACGTATAGGAAAAGAAAGAAACCTGGTCAAGGTGCGTATAAAACCATCATTCATAAATCATTTGTTTCATAAAATTTTATTTAACTTAGTTATTATATAAGTTATAGAAATTTTACAAATACTGGAAAATGACAATGATATATTTTTTTTATTGATATATTATTTTTACATCTCAGTCAGACAGGAGTGCCTGTCTGACAAATATGGCCAAATTTAATCTATAATTTTCTACACATTCTAGTTCCATAAAAAATGAAAATTATTTCTATAATAAAATATTTAGTAGAAACTTGAGATACACTGTGTGATCCTTTGTAAAATCATATAAAAATATGATCTTTTCTAGAAATAGTTTAGCAAAATCGCTCTCATTTACTTCTAAATGCCTTTATTTTATAATTATTTCAGGAATCACACGATTTCAACATTTTTGTAGACATATAGATCTATATGTTACGCTCAAGAGTAACAAATGAATTCCAATTGATTTTTTAAGACAAATTTGAATTGTTATTATTCTGATCATAATAAATAATGTTTATTTTTTTATTTACTTATATATTTTTTATAAACTTAAGTTAAATTATAATATGTTAATTCAATATTGATTTTTTTTTCAAAATATGCAACATATCTTAAGTTTAACTTATTTAAAATTATTGAATACTTTCTAACCGTTAATAGTTTTTCCTAAAAATCGTCCATGACAAAATCGATAGCGAAATGAATTTGAGTAACAATTTTAAAACATTTTTTTACTAAAGAAATATAAGTATGAATATAAGGATAAAGTGGCCAAATATGTAATATTTTTATAATTTCAAATACCGGCTGAATAAAATATTATTAGGGTTAATATTAATTAAATTTATTTAACATAATTTTTTTTTAAATGTTAAATTATAACATTTATTAAAATGTTACACATTAAATTATATATTTTGCCATTTATAGGTTTTTTTTTTTGAGAAAATTTTGGAGATATTTAGGACGCTTTATTTTGTTTAGATGAAAAATTAATAAATAGTATTTTTAACATTAAACATATTATATTTAAATTAAAGGCTTTAAGAATTAAATAAGAGCATTTTTGCTATTTCTAGTTACGATCATATTTTAATGCAGTGTATTTCAAAAGTTCTATTAAATATTTATAACAGAAATAATTTTCAGATATAGTTTTTGCATATATATATATCATATATATATATTATATAATATATATATAATATAGGAGATTTTTCTAACTTTTAAAAACAAAATTTTCATTATATTTATTTTTTAGATATGTTCAAATTTATACAAATTTGCTTGCCTGGTACATCTAGTATAATTTAATGTTGAATGTAATAAATTCGTATTTATTTATGATGCATGTAATCATCATATATGTTTATAACAATATCATTAATATTCAAATATTACAATTTAATTTTTACGAAATAATTTCAAATACCGGCTGAATAAAATATTATTAGGGTTAATATTAATTAAATTTATTTAACATAATTTTTTTTTAAATGTTAAATTATAACATTTATTAAAATGTTACACATTAAATTATATATTTTGCCATTTATAGGTTTTTTTTTTTGAGAAAATTTTGGAGATATTTAGGACGCTTTATTTTGTTTAGATGAAAAATTAATAAATAGTATTTTTAACATTAAACATATTATATTTAAATTAAAGGCTTTAAGAATTAAATAAGAGCATTTTTGCTATTTCTAGTTACGATCATATTTTAATGCAGTGTATTTCAAAAGTTTCTATTAAATATTTTATAACAGAAATAATTTTCATATATAGTTTTTTTTTTATATATATATATATATATGAGATTTTCTAACTTTTAAAAACAAAATTTTCATTATATATTATTTTTATATATGTTCAAATTTATACAAATTTGCTTGCCTGGTACATCTAGTATAATTTAATGTTGAATGTATAAATTCGTATTTATTTTATGATGCATGTAATCATCATATATGTTTATAACAATATCATTAATATTTCAAATATTACAATTTAATTTTTACGAAAACATTTATATTTTTATCTTAGGGTGGTCCTTAATATAGATGTTTTTGAATTTCTTTGCTCCCAGGGGCTCAAATGCTTCGAAATCGATACAAAAAATTTTTCTGAAAGATTTAGCTCTTAATATTAACTTTAAGATAGTCCGCAGTCCAACCAAAATTCATTGGTTTTTCCTAAAAAAAATACTACACTTTATAAAGTATATCAATTTTTTGTTGTATATTTTTTATTCATGGTCAATATAAGCAAATACAATATTATTTTCAATATTTTGATTCACTTGTCGCGCTAAGATATAAAATTCTAATAAAAACAAATGGAATTTTATCCATGATATTTCCATAAGAAACTTTACAGTGCGGACTATCTTAAAGTTAATATTAAGAGCTAAAACTTTCAAATTTTTTTATCTCTTTGGAAGCAGTTGAGCCTCTGGGAGCGAAGAAATTCAAAAACATCCATATTAAGGACCACCCTAATATAAACCACCCTATATATATATAAAAATAAATATAAAAATTAAACGCTATAAATATACAAATATATAAAATCACAAAATACTATACTAATAAGTTTACATCTTCCTGAATAAGTATATGTTTTCAGCAGAAAATTTATATTCTACATACAGTACTCATTATGGCAAAAAATGTCACTAATGCAAATTAAATCAACATTAAGCAATTTTAAGTCATTCTGAATCGTTCGACCCCAAAATTGGAAAAAGTATATGCGAAAAGTAAGATTTTTCGAGGGCAGTATCTATTTATCTCCCAAAAACAAACGAAATTGTTATATTATTTCTTTCTTTTTATCCTTAATAGGAAAAACTAATTAAAGTAAATTTACCTGAGAATAAACCAATTGATCTTCAAAATATATTCAATGAACACTAATATTGAAATATTTTATGAGATAACTAACTTTCTTATATAGTTTCTATCTTTTTCCTTACTTTACTGAATTCGGCGCGCTGGGATTTGACAATTTGTCTAAATTCGACGAATCTTCTGGTTTATTCGAATTTAGACAAAGTTATGTAACACATTTTTATTTATTTATCTATTTCAATCTAAGTTCTCTAACAACTCTTCATCACTAAGAAGACTGAAAAGATGCTGGCCAAGCGACCTTTGAAACACTAGGCTTCACTCATTGGAGTGAACTCTAGATAATTATTTCTTTTTTTTTTCTTTTTCTTTTATTATTATTATTAATATTAATATTATTTCTTTCGATTCCTCTCGTTTGTGTCACAATAGCTTATGAGATTAATTTGTATCTTGATTGCTATTAATAAATAAATAAATAAATAAAATCAACCTAAGGGCCTAGAAATACAACGATATCTCAAGCCACAATAATACCTTAAACCTACTTCAACTTAAAACCAACCCCAACAAAAACCTAATTAAAGATCTAATAACTCTAGCATTCTAGACTGGTTCCCTAAGTAACTCTTTTTTCTTTGTTCTCTTTATACGGTCTATTGTTTTCAACCAGCTTAGACTTTTCTTATGTAACACACTATGAAGTCATTTGTTATAAATGATTTTATTGTTCATAATAAATTTTATTAATTATTATAATTTGTTCCAGCTCCCGACAAATCGCTAGCTGCTAATGCGGCTGACGAAGAGGACTCTCCAGGCTTATACGAAAATTTACCTTTCCACGGACTTCAAAGTGCACCCAATAAGGTAAGATTCATTTAAATTATTATCAATTTAATCAAAAGAATATTTTCCTTCATTTTTAGCTATAAATATTTTATCACAGCTTAATTCACCAACCAAGTCTTATAGGTAATCATGTTCTAAAACTTCAAACGATATATCAAGTTTATTATAAATTGTAATTGTCTTTGTATATGATTTTATATACATATGTATAAATATATCATATATTCAACTATATATATATATATATATATATATAATTTAATTAGTTTAAGGTAATTATAATATTTAGATGCTGTGTGTATGGTTTGAATCATCTATTTGAATGAATGAGTAAAATGCAACGTGGAATTGGCGATTTTACAACCAGAACTTCTAAGAAGAGACGATTTTCACTGAACTTTTATATTTTATATTTATTTCGTTAATGTTTTCATATTTATTATTGGATTTTTTACTGTTGATAACAACATAATGTTTTGTTTTCATGTTACTAAAATATGTAATACGAATAAAACTGTTGGTACAAAATAAATTGTGTTCCAAATTAACGAACAAAAATTTAACAGCATGGAAGGGAATAAAAAAGCATGAATGGCTGCATCTTGTTTACGGATTTGTGTTTTGTTACAACTTTTTGAGATAATAGATTTTGTAATTTATAAAACCACTAAGAAGTAGAGTTTATCATCAGATTTTTTCCAAAAAAAAGAAAGTAGAAAACAGTAAGAGGTGACAACGTAAATTATTCTTCTTCAGATAGAGTTATGAAGGAATTGCTCTCTAATTTTACTTTTTTGTCGATAAACGTTGAACAAGGCTTAAAATTTTGGTTCTTAATAATTTGAGTTGAAAAAATATAATAGTCCAGTCATTATAGTAAGTTCACCTCGGAATTCCAGATACCCAGCTGTAAGTCTGTAAATACTAGTACCTAACAGTTGTCCCAAAGCTACATATGGGTAGCGTGTACGTACCATATGTAGGTTTTGAGACAACTTTTAGGGTGCTATTTAAGGATATTTACAGACTTACAGCTGAGTATCTCGAATTCGGAGATTCTTACCTAATTTAAGCTTAAATAACTGGACTATAGGTCCATTTTAGTTTTAAATAAACTCATATTTTTTAAATCTAAATATTCAGAACTTTGCTATGTGCTGTAAATATAATACCTACTATCGATTTTATTTTTTTTTTATATTTATATTTATATATTATATTCAAAAACTTGCTCTATGCATTCAAAATATTTCAAATTATTTTGAAGTGCTTAAGATAGCAATAATTTTGAAATAATCGCCAGAATTATCAGTAGAACAATTGATATGGAAGCTTTATCTTCCTTTTAGTAATTTATTTCTTCACGTCTTTAATATATGATAATAATCAATGACACTTCACAAACGACTATAAACATTACATTTTTCTTTATAAAAAAACTAAGATATTACATTTTAAACTAGTACTGTATGGCATCGTGCCTTAAGGCAAATTGCTGGAACATTCCGTACCAGAATTATATATTCGAGGGAAAAAATTCAGTAATCAATGAAAATTGATCAATGATTTACAACAATTGTTTTATGCATTTTCAAATAGATAATTATAATCAATATATATTTTACCGTTCATAAAATATACAGTGACGATCTTATCGCTCAAAACACTTGAGAAAGTTTACATTAGCAAGAGGTTAATGAATAAAACCATCTGAGGATATATTTCTCATGATTAGAATAACGCATTTGAAATATATACATTTTCAAACTGAATTGTAAATTTGAAATTCATATTTGAAGTATAAAACTTTGCATATTTTTGAACATTTTGAAATTTTCTTTTTTGAAAGATTTTGAAATTTGCTTGAACCGTATAAGTAAACTTTGAAAATTAAAAATCTTGTTACGGAACCTAACAAAATTGTAACAAAGAAATTAGTACTCATTTTTAAAAACTTCATGAAATATCTGATAATTTGATGTGCATACGTCTAATGTTTATTATTGACTACCAAATATCTTTTTTTTTCGCTTTTTCCACTGTATATCCCAAACTGCAAGATCTGTCTTACCAAAAATTTCATCAATTATTTATTTCGTCATCACAAATAGAATGTTTTTAAAATCATTCAAATCGAGTACTCCGTTCTTTCAAAAACTGACTTACCGTTTTTGGAAGTTTTTGCCCCGTATCTTCGGAACGGCTAGACCTACCTTTGCCAAAAACTAATCAGCACATCAGTCTTCTTATCAATACGAATCGAATGTTTTTTAAATTATTCAAATCGGTTGATTCGGGTTCCCGAAATCGTCGACGAAAATTTGTATCCGTACATACATACACACACATACACACACACATACATCTATTTTTTCTAAGGTATGCCAAAATGTTCAGAAACCTCTGAAACGTAAAGATCTATAAAAAATTTCATTTTAGATTTTTTGCGATTACTATAACTTGCCCTACGGGAAGTTAATAACACTTTATAAACGACTATAAATATTACATTTACCTTTTTATTAAAATTAAGATAAATAATGGGCAATTATTGCGCAATCCAGGGAGGAATTTGCATTCATATCGGTGAGCTTCCTTTTTTACTATAAAGATCTATTATCTCAAAAATAGTTGTATGTTGCTTTGACTAACACAAACTAACCAAACATAACTTTATTTTATTCCAGCTATCCCGACCTAACAAAACCATCTTACGCGTTCCTCCAACCCTTAAATATACCCCTCCTTCATCAGCCACAACCCCATCCTCGACATCGACAAAATCCTCATCTGTAAATCTTCACAATGTAGCAAACGGAGGAACAACTAACCATACGACAACCACATCAGGTTACAACCTGATACCATTATCCAGTTTTAGACCAAACCCATTTTTAACCAGAGCACAGTCGAGTGCTGCCAGATCTCAAGTGTACAGTGCCAGAACTTTGACAACGAATCATACTTTTGATGAAAAGAAACACCAAAGTACAGGGTCTTTACCGAAAAACCACAAATCTAGGAGGAAGAGTCACAGTTTCCATTCCATGAGAGCTAAAAACGCCAACAAGAGTAAGAGAACTAGTGTTGCCCTATGTGATGACCAGTACAGCACTGGTAATGAACAGTACACTGATGAGGAACGTTACCAAGATCATACCTATGAAAATTTGACAGACTCCATACAAATTTATGAGACCAGTAACGATATTCCAATGCCTGCACCGAGGTGTAAATCTTCTAATAGTTCGAGATCAACATTGGTGCCTCCGGAGACGAAGCACCATTATGCTAATGTCTCTGCAAATGTTTCCGGGTGCGAGGATGATGGTACGGAACCTCCGCCAATACCGGAGTTGCCGTCGTTGGAGTTGTACAGCAAGCCGGAGAGCATAGATGATTTTTTGTATGACTATAAGGTATGATAATTGATAGAAATTAATTTTTATGTAGGTAAATTTTTATTTATGCTTTATGTAGGTAAATTTTAATATATTTATGATTTTTGCGTAAAGATCTTATTTAGGCGAGTTAACCCTAATATTACGCGTTTCTCTGGAAACGCGGTTTTCATACTACGCATATCTAAAATTTACATAGCACGGTACTCCTATAAAGCGGAACTTCCTCCTATAGCACGGTTTCCGTACGACATAAGTTTTTTTCGCGCAGCCTATGAAGCTACTAAAAATTATAAAATGTGTTAAGGAAATTTCCATTGTCGATTATTTTATGTTTTACAATATTTTTATAAACGTGTCAGTTTTTATCATAGCTGTGCCATCGACATTGGTTTTAGTACAGACAGAGCTTTTCCACATTTTTCTCAAAAAGCTAATTTTTTGTATTGGAAAACAGTTTTTTTAGTTTCGTTTTTGTTCCAATTTTTTTATCATATCTTGATATGTACTCTTGATATGCACTAGTGGTGCATGGCGAATTGCTGGAACTTTACAAACCTTCAAATTTTGCTGAAAACGTATATGAAAAAATGAGATTTTTGAGAATTTCGATATTTTTGAAATAATTTGCCTTTTTGAAAAATCTGTTTTTTAATATTTTGCAATTATGTTTATACTTTGAATTTTTCTGAAAATGTTGACCTTTTTTTAAGATTTCGAAGCGCGTAAGCGCCACATCGCAGTCTAACTGATGAACCTTAGTACGGAACCCATAGAAATCTAAACAAAATTCATACTGATTATCACAATCTCTATAAAATATCTTATAATTTGACGTGCATAAGTCTACTGATAATTTTTGACAGCCAAATGGCATTATTTTTCACTTCTTTTATTAGATCTCCGGAAACGCTGCACCTGCCTTCTCAAAAATTTCTTTATTTCGTCAATACAAATAAAATTTTGTTTGAATTATTCAAATCGGACGCTCCGATCTCTTAAAAAATCAGTTATCATTTTAGGCGCTTTTTACCCCGTATCTCCGGAACGGTTAGACCTGCCTTTGCCAAAAACTAAACAGCACGTCTATTTATCAATGCGAATCGAATGTTTGAATTATTCAAATTGGATGATCGGTATTCCCAAAATTGTACCCGCACGCACACACACATGCATCAATTTTTTCTAATAAGATATGCCAAAATGTTCAAAACCCCATAATTTTTCATTTTCGATTTCTTTTCATTTTCTCCCTACGGGAAGTTCATAATTTATATTTTCTATACTTTATATTCACTGGTTTCGATATAACACGGTACAAATGATATGATTTGTACAAATTCTTTATAAAGTTCTTTAGAGCGCGGATCCCATACAACGCGGTTCTAAAACGTTCTTCGAATAAGCAGACTTTTGTTATGAATTGAGTTAATACGCACACATAGCGTTATAGTAGGGCTGACTAAACTATTTTATCTGTTATTTATAAAATATTTGTTATTTATACAGAATAATATAGAATTACTAAAACTGAATAATTTAAAGATGTCCTTCAATCCAATAATTTATATCCAGTTTGAAGCCTATTAATGATATTTACCGCAAAAATGCTAAGATATTTTTATCTAAATAAATATTTAAAAAAAAATACAAATAGTGACTAAATTAAATAAATAAAAGCATAGTAAATTTTGCATGCTAAGTGAGTTATTTGTAGATTTTTCTAAATGTAAAATATAATTTTATCTTTAATATTCATAAATTAAACATACGAAGCAAAGTGCCTAATACATAGTTAAGGCATCTTTGCAAAAATGACTTAAGAGCATTTGACTATTTTAAAAAAAATAATTATTGCAAATCATGATGAATGTAGTCACTATTTGCACTCATATTTATAGTAGAATTATTTATAAGTAAAGATTATATTATGCCTTTTTTCAACTATTTATAACTGGCCATATTTAAATTATCAGCTTTAACTGTAAAATCAATTGCACCAGATTCTAAATGTAAGTTTAGCTAGATTTGTAAAGAATAATGAGACTATTAATACATTTTAATAGTAAAACATTAGACCTATTCATTTTTTTTGTTTAATTATAAATTGGAGTTATATCTGTGATAAAAAAATATTAATAGTTACGGTGCAATTGAGTTTTTTCAATAATTGAGGCAGTGTTGGAATCTAGAAAACCTCCTCTAAATCTTCATATTAATATAATATACTACTCTTAACCTACTCTATCTATATTTATTATTATCTATATTTATCATTCTTATATAATTTATTATTCGTTAGTTACTGAATCAGTTCTATGATTCTCTATTGTGATTTTAACTCTGTTATTTAATATATAAATAAAGATCTATATATTTTTATTTATTTATTTCAATAAACTGGTAATTTTTGTGATTATTATGCATGTTGACTCTATGTATTTCTTTATGTTTATTTTTATCTGCATCATGTTTTACTAACAAATTAATTTAATATATATAATCGGGTATAAAAATGTTATATTTAAATATTATATTCTGGATATTTTTTGGGGGTATACATAAAAATAATAATTTCAATATTTGAATTAATTATTATCCACATAATGTTATAATGATTGCACATTTATAGAAATCTATTAACTTTTAATTTTGTGTTATAAGGCAATTTATATATAGAATATTGGAACTTACTTTTATTACTTTTTGTATGACTATCATACAAATTCGTATCATATCGTTTCGTTTTAAATTGTAATTTTTCTTCGGTTTTAAGTAGCAAATTTTTGTTTGCTGTCGAATACGTTTTGTTTTTTTAATATTTCAACTATTCAATAAATCTTCCGGTACCTACTTGTTATTAATTGTCTACTGAACAAATTAAAAAAATATCTATTCGCTATTTGGAAGAATTTTTTAAAATACATTAGATTATAAAATATTGCATGATGGTTATGCTAAATTTAATTGCATGATTCTTATAGCATTTTGTTGCTTGCAAATATTTATAAAACTGAAATTTTAAATTAATAGACGCTTAAAGAAATTATGTTATTTAAACTTTATATATATTATAATGCAAAGAATACTTTAAGTTAATAATTTAGATTTTTCAATTATTTACATAGTTTCTATAAAGCGTCTATTGAAATTACAAATTATTAGTAGACTTAGGTAGTGGACTAAATAAGGCAATAATGTTATCTGAGCAGCACATATTGTTCAAAATTGCAAACTTTGCATTTTACTTTTTTTCTAATCATTATTATATTATATTTCTAGTTTTTTTTATTTATTTTTAACAATATAAATTTGAAAAATAGTAGCATGTGTCGTGATACTATAACGTCGGTAACAATTTCTATCTCTTAACAAATGTGACATCAAGCAACAGTGATAGTAGTTTTCTGTTAAAATCATCTGAATCCGTTTTGTTGATGATTTAAGTTTTTTTATTTCACATTTTTTTCTAATCATCTCTTTTTTCTTGACTATGTTTATTAGGAAAATTTTATATCGTGACATAAGGGTAACAGTTTTATCATTTGAAAATGATGTGGTATCAAGCAGCAATAATAGTAAATTTCGAGCAATAATTAGATATTAAACGTTAGATAAATGCTTATTCAAACAAACACACATATACACACATACACACATACTTTTTCAAAATTTGGTCTCATTCGGTTCAAATTCGGTTGGGAATCGTGCTGATTAGTTTTTGGAAGAGATCGGCCGGGCCGGTTTCTTGTAATAAAATATTAAAAAAAAATTTTCGACGATTTTTATTATTTTTTTATGATAGATACCATAGTCTTCTAGATCATACTAAAATATTACGGCCCTACGACAACTCGTTTAACTTTAAAAAATTGTCAAAAATTGATTTTGTTTCAAAATTAGACCTTTAATTGACGTTTTCTCAAAAACGCCTGAACAGATTTCAGAAATTTGAAAGCCATCTGATGTAGCTCCATGAGGATTATCGTTTCTCAGTTTTGTGCGATGATCTACCAAACCGTTTCTTTGTAATTTGAAAAAAAGTGTTAAACTTTTTATCCACAAATAAGCTCATACTACCGAATCGATTATGACAAATCAAAAACTGTTAGTAGGGAATGATACTGATTAGTTTTAGGTGAAAATCTACCGAGCCGTTTTCTTGTAATTAACTGTCGAAAAAAAATTTAAGCCGATTTTTATGGAATTTTTTTTAGCGATATTTATTATGGTCTTATAGAGCTTACTGAAATATTACGGCCTAACGACAAGTAGTTAAATTTTAAAAATTCATCAAAGCTTGAGAAAATGAGTAGTTTTTTTGACGTTTGTTAAAATTTAAATTAGACGATTTACTTGGTATAACGATAGAGTACTTGGTCTTAATGAACATACTAAACCAATTGTGAAAATTCAATTATAAAAATTATTGATTTTTGAAAATTTGCTTTTAGAAAATGCTCCGAATTAACGTGTTCGTTCGTTTTCAATTATGTGTAATAAATACACTCGGAATACTTTTATTCACTCATAAATCAATTAATTTTTTATTGATCAAGTCGATTATTTACAGATATCGGGAAGTTCATGTAACTTGCCTCAAGGCAAAATACCAATATCAACTAGTTGAATTTGTTACCCGAGTATTGCTACATCATTTCTTTGTAATGTTTGCTTGAGTCCATTACCTATGTCTATTACCCTGTACTAACACGACTAACAACTGCACGTCCGTGTTTGTTCTGCTAATATTTTCAGATCCGCCACAACAACAACAATCATCTGGCCCAGTTATCTCGGGAGTACCAACACACTTTGCTATCAACGGCCCGACACCAACTTCACAGCGGTCACGACCGCGCACCATCAATACAAAACAAACGCTACATCAGACAACCTCTGCAGAAGCACCACAGTTTCCATTTCCATACGGACGATGATGAATTACCTTACTATAGAACAGCTTCCCGATCGAGGAGGAAACATAATTATGACCGAAATTTGGGCGATGTGAGAAGGTTAAGGAAGAGCAACAGTGTTACCAATGTTAGTGGGTGCGGGCCGTTGATTTTTGTCCCTCATACCCAACGGGTAAACGCCAGGACTCCTGCACAGGATTACCCGACGCGTGGGTTCCAGAAAACCGAAGCGCTGCTGACGAACGATGATTATTTTCAGAATTTTTTAAAGTTAAGGAAAATTAGCGAAGCTAGTATGAAATTGTATAATGATACGAGTAGGATAGTTTATGCCGATTTGGAAAAAAGTCCTGTTTGCCAGAGGGTTACTGCGAGTTCGGATCCTGTAAGACATTTGAGGAGGCATCCGCCGACGCATTATGCCACGTTGCATTTTAATGAAGTCAATGTGTGAGCGAATGTGCTGTAATATTAAGGTAATGCGAGGACAAAATTTAGACAAAAATGCTATCTGCACAAAATATATTTTTAATTTAAGCCCTGTTATGTTCATTGCATTCAATTTAATTTGAGCCGTATTGATTTTAATTTAAGCCATATTATTTCATTTTTTGATTTTAAACATTTAATCATGAAATTAGTTGACATTGTTTGTGTACAAAATAGAGCGGGGCACAAAGGTCTAATTTAAATTTTGAGAATTATACTGTGAGAGCAAAACTAACTATTAGGCTGTTCGGAAAGTAACTTCGTTTTGTATAGACATTTTGAAACGTAATTTTCGTACAATAAACAAATACTTTAATAAATTATGTATTGGTTGTTTTGATCGAACATCTTTTGTCATATTTCTGGTGTTACCATAATTTCGAGATCATAAATTTTTTGATCGTTATTGGTAAAAAACTGATCAAAGTGCTTTTTGACCTCCTCATTTGAGGTATAGGTTTCACCGCCTAAAAGTTTTAAAAAGATCTACTATTTAGTTTTTAATTTTACATAGATTTTATGAAATAGTAGCTACACTTCTTAATCAACGCGGTACAGTTTATTATTGAGTTGAACGACAATATTAAAATTTGTGCATTGTTAAACATAATATAAATATTTATCAACTTTTACTCCTATCATAAATTTAGCTTGGTAGGTATTTCTGTTTAATTCATCATTATCAAACTTATTGTTTCTTGAAATATATTTACTTTAAATAAAGTGAATGCAATTTCTGTTGGGAATACATAATTCATAGCATATTTTTTTTTTTACAAAGACCACACTGCATACAACTTTGTATGGAAAATTTGTCAGAAGAATTTTTCATCTTGAAATAAGGAGTTACAATAACTATTAATTTTTATTTAATCCCCATCTCTTGAAAAAGTGTCTTTTTACCTTCGTTCGCTTTTTATTTAATACTATCTTATGGTTTATTCTTTGCCATTAGGAGCGTCCTGGTGATTCTTTTTACCTCAACCACATATAAAGCTTACCTAAAAATACCATTACACCTTATTATAAACAAATTTATCGTAAACTAAATAAAAGTGCGCAAATTAAAAAAAAACTAACAACGAAAAAAAATTTATTAAAAAATTTATAATGTGGCCGTTTATCTCCTGATAGCAGGAGATAGTTTTGGAGCGATGGCAGGTTACTCACATTTTTCCCTCTACTTTAAAATAGTATTGTTAAAATATACCAAAATTCACTTATTTTTTAGATAATATTGGTTCTTACCCGCTGACCCCTAAGCCCCGATCTATCCTATCTTAATATTGTATAATATAAATATGGAATTCATTTTAAAGTTCTAACATTTTTCATTAAAAAACTTAAATAATTTATAAAGCATGTTTAAAATCTACAATTTTGAATAACTCTTTTTGAATTTTTTTTAGTCTGGAGAACATCTCGGAAGTGATACTTACATATTTTGAGAGAGGTAATTAATTTTTTTTTTTCAAAAATAATTTTTGCTACAAAACTACCTCTGATTTGTTAACTAAATTTACAGCCCAAACGTTGAGATTGTAGATTTTAAAAATACTTGTTTGTGTTCATTTCGTTTCAAGTAATAATAAGAGCATCAGTCATGCAATTAGATTAATTTAATAGTCATAATATTTGAAGTTTTGCCCATTTTACCTATAATCTCTTCGTTATTATTGCTTATGCAATTTGTAATTACATACAACATATTCATAATCATAATATTCATTAACATTATCATTTTTGTCATTACTAGCTAAAAATACTCACTTTGTACTGCATACTTACTTGCTCATTTTAATGAAAATAGTCAATTTGTCATTTGTAAAATGTAATATATTTACTAATATATTTTAGTAATATCTAACATGCTTTTGATATCTAACTATAAAATATAAATCTTTGATAATTAGCGCATATACGCAAACAAGCATAGTATGTAATTATACATACATATTTAAGTTAGTATATGAAATTTATATATCAGGTTGGTTTAAATTTTTTGGGCGATTTTAAGAAATTTTGCCGAAGAAGCCATAACTCAAGAATGAACTTCAGTTTAGAAATCAACCACCCAAAATTTTGTCAAATTCCCAATTGTTAGTTGATATGAAAATACTGTACTGAAAATTTGCTGACCCCACATTTCATTTGAGCTTTGGTTTCTTCAGCAAAGTTTCTTAGGACCACTCGTAAAACCAGAAAAGCCATTACGTGCATTATTTCGGCTTCGAATTTGATACGTAATAGACTAAAGTCTTTAATTTTTTGATGATTTTTTTGGGGAAAAACCATTGACTATAGTCTTTGATTTTCTGGAAAAACATTTTGGGAAAAAAAATTTGGAAAAAAAAATTGGGGAGAAAATTTTTGGAAAACAACATTTTTTGGAATAAAAAATTGGGGAGAAAAATTTGAAAAAAAAAATTGGAGAAAAAAATTTTTTTGGAGAAAAATTTTGGACAAAAATATTGGATCTAGTTCTTATGAAACCTAAAAAATGCGCATTTTACCCATTTGGTTTTCTTGTTCGGAGCACAAAACAAATCAAACCAAACCTAAAACTAATCAATCCAATAAATTAAATAAAAATATTTTATCTTTTCAGCCTTTCCAGCCAGCTTGCAATGATTTAATTTACGCCGAGGTGGATGCCCAATATGGTCCAATTCATTACAAGGCAGCCTCAATATACGAGCAGTTGAAAAGAGCCAAGGCCCAAGAAAAATAATAAACCCGAAATTGATTTCAAATTATTTCATTTATTGGCAAGCAAATAACCTTCAATATTTTTAATACAATTCTCGAATGACACTTTAATGAAAACTTCAATTGAATTCAATTCGATTTCATTAAAGTGTTATTTAATTATTGTGATAGTTATAAGTTTTAACTGTATTCGTGCCTATTTACAAGTTTTTATCAAATCAAATTTGAGACTTAGCAAATGTTCTTCTAATTATTTTGCAAATGTACTTATTATATATTTATATTTAAATTAAACCACTATTTTATTCGGAATAACTACCCGCGGAACTGATTGAGTAATGTGCAATGGCATTTATTATAAACAAAGTAAAATCAGAGTTTTTTTTTAAATTTATTACAATTGCAATATTTTTAAAATATTGGTACAAAGTCGTATAATTTTAATGTTTTAAAAAATATGCTTTGTTAAAATTTTAATCGGATGTTTTCGGAAAATTCATACAGAATTTTGTTGATTTAGCTCTATAATCCGCCTGACTGTGTTAATTACAATATTTTGGCTAAATTTTAAACTAACATTTTCAATTAAATACAAAAACGATTTAAATTTTTAATCAGCCTATCAAAATTTATTACAAATTTCAGTTACAAAAATAATTATTATTTTCGTAAAAGACTTACAGCTGAAACAATAATATAAGTAGAAACTTTTACCTATCGGAAGAGTCCGTGATTGTCGTCGGCAATGTTCGCTCAGACATGTGACGTCACATACCCTTCTATGTTTGAGCACTTGTTTTGCACTCGACTAGCAGTAATATAAGGGCTATGTAATATAAGGTCTATGTTTTTCGCTTATACAAAGGAAGCAATCGAGAGTGTTCGACGGTTCTCAGCAACGCTCGTTCGTCACTTGACGTCACTATCCTTTCTAGTTTTTGACACATTTTTGCGCTCTAATAGCTTGTATCATAATGTCTATTTTTTGGTATTCTTATATATTGGAATTAATATAGTCACCATCTAGGAAAAAAACCTCCAAAAATCCTTTGACTCATGCATTGGTATGAGGTCAATGTTGTGGTAACAAATCAATGTTATGACAAGGCCATGTTATACTCTCCAGCAACTTGCATGCATTATGCATTATGAATCATACTGAATACTCTCAAAGTGCCATGTATTTGCTGTGCATTCAGACGTTTTACACAAACTGCATGCTACTCGTATGTTATGAAGCTGGGTCAGAAAGACTCTTTTATCTAACATTGTTTTTTTGACATTTGTGCGGTTTCTAGGTCAGGTTTTCTGTCACCTGAGCAGGACCACATGGCTTTTGTCAATATTTAGTATGGAAAGTGCTTCATAACATAGCCTTGCCATAACATTGGTGGTCCCAGTCAGTTTAGCTTATTCTGAGTCTAGACCGATTCTGGTGCAAATAGTTTCCATCACGGTTCGGTTTCAGTGATCAACTTATGTACTTTCGTTTGTTAGGGAATTACCCTAATTTTTTTTAGCTTCGGTGCTAATTGACTCGATGAGATTTTTTTTTTCTGATTTAGAGTGATATTTTGTTATCGTTAATATCGAAGAATAAGAACCTTTATTTTAGAAATACAATCCATTGTTAAAGTCCAGCCACACCAGTAAAGTTTTTTTCTTTGTGATAAATAAAAATTGCATTTTGTTGTATATATTACATAATTCAGTTCCCCTAGTTATTCTTAATAAAATCTTCTATTGCGGAGCAGTTAACCTGACCTAACTTAAGCTTCCAAATATGTCATTAATTCATTAATTTGTAAATCGTCTTCAATTCTGTTAATTAATTTTAGATGTAGACATTAGAACAATATATTTAATTTATAATAATTTACTCATTTTCAATAACTTTTCGGCCTGAAATAAGGACCTAAAAACCAACAAACCAAAGGTACTAAAATTTATATCTAATATAAATTAGCTAATTGAATTGTATATTTATAAAATAAAATTTTTAAATAAAATAAAGTTCTATGTCATAATATTAAAAATGTTTAGCAAATATATATGTAAATAAATACATATATTGAAAGAAATAGATTTTACTAATAAAACTAGGCTTTTGTAAAAAATTAAAGAATTTAAATGGTATTATCAAAATGTAAGTACTGTATATATGCAAACACAAACACACACACACATATGCTAACATAAAACAAGAGTAGAGGAATGTTACGTTAAAATAATTTTTTGAGAAAAAATACATATTTAATTCTTTTATTTTCGACTGTAAGGGATCGTTCAAGTATTACGTAAGCAGATTTATTACAATAATTTACCCAAGTCAAGCAAGTCAATAACCCCCCCGCCCCCTATAGTGCTTACGTAATACTTGAACGGCCCCTGGTATACTTTTTAATAAAGTTCTCTAATAAACTTTTTATATTAAGTAGAATCAATATAGTTGTGGTACCAAATATGAATTTAAATAAATACCTGTGCCTGATTTTGACATAATTTATGTAACATTCCTCCATTTTAATTAAATGAAAGTTAAACGAGTTTAAATAAATTTTTGATGGTATTCACAAAATTGATTTATATGCCGCAGAAAATAAAAACCAATTGTACTTAGACGCATGCGATTTTCAGATTATAGGGATCAAAATAAGATACTTTGCTGAAGAAACCATGCTCTAGGATGAACTCTGATTTCCCCGTGCATTGACCCAAATATAGGGGTTAAGTTTTCAAAAACTCATGATCAGTCTCTGAAAGTTGGCGGAGGTCGGTCAAACATTTGAACGCAATTGGGGCAAATTTCAACCCTTATTTTTAGGTCAATGCAAAATTATTTAAGAGGTATGGTTTCTTCGGCAATGTATCTTATTTTGATCTTTATGTTAATTTTCTAATTATATTTTTCGATTGAAAAATATGACTCCTATGCGAGAGTTTTGTTCATAGTTTTTGGTTTATCAAGAACATACTCAGTTTTTCTTTTTGATGATTTCATTGGAATTGTTTGTGTGAAACCCTTTTAGTTTATCTAAAATATACATGCATACATACATACACGTGTCTACCACAGTATCAAAAATTTATTTAAATGATAATTAAGTTATTTTGTGTGCTAGATCTATTGTAAATACTATAATTTTGAGTTGTTCCGATACATGTACTAGAAGAGAATTAATTTGCAAGGCAAGTTGGAGGTCTATTAAATAGACAGTAAATATAAAATTTTTAAAATATATTTTTGAAAAAATGTAGAAGATTAATAGCTATTGATTTTTTTAACAACCTTAGACTTACAATATAACAAACTAAATTAAATTTATTCAAACTGATTTTTGAAGATGATATAGGGACCGATTCTGCCGCACAACAGAGCCATGTTATGGCAAGGCCATGTTATACTCTCCATCAACTTGCATGCATTATGCATTATGAATCATACTGAATACTGTCAAAATGTCATGTGTATGCTGTGAATTCAGGCGTTCTACACATAAACTGTAATGTCACTCGTATGTTATGAAGCTGGGTCAGAAAGACCACGTTATCTAAAATTGTTTTTTTTTTGACATTTGTGCGGTTTTTAGATCAAGTTTTCTATTTGACAACCTGAGAAAAATGCCTGGCTTTTGTCAATATTTAGAACGAATTTGTATTCAAAGTTTTTAATAACATAGCGTTGCCAAAACACTGGTCTGTTATGCGGCAGAATCGGTCCCTTAATTTGCAATTTCACCTATTATTATAATCAGTTCTCAGTTAACAAATTGCTATCATAAAGAGTGACGTTGATTAAAAACGAATCATAACTGAACAAGTGTTTTATAAATATCATTCAGTATTTTCTATTATTTGATGTTTCAAAAATCATATTTTGGAAAAAGTGGCACGAATAAGGTAGTTCCAAACACTTATTGATTGCTTAGAATTACTTTTGAATAATATGAGCTTCTTTTTGAAATGTTTTTTGAGGACTGGTTAAATATTTTTCAAAAATGATTTTATATCTTATACTCCTAATTTTAATGAGAGGTCATTTTAAATCCAAATTATAACTAAACTTGCCAATCCGGAACATCATTGAAATTGCTACTGCCTTTAAATTATACTAAAAAATATTGTAAATGATTATTTGTAACAAAAACTTTTTATAAAAGTTATATAAAAAGTTCACAATTTGTTTTTCTTTCACATAAATTATTTTACAGAATTTTCAGCTTGGCTTCTAACCGATGCCTTTCGAACAGTCCTTCCGGAATCTCTCTTTCTAATAATACAGTATGTCTTTATAACAACCATAATGTCTGCATTACTAACATGTTCCTTTTTTTGAGATTTTTCTAATTCCACCATCAACGCACCGAATAGACATCACACCGACCTTTTCATTATGGACCTCTCTTTCGCTGCTATGGCAACGGCCATAAAATTTTCAGTAAAATATTTTTGCATGGCAACAATATATATAATACACATTCCACTAAATATCCCTTTTCAGCATGTTTTCCACGAAACAGAAGCAGCGATTTTTTTTTTTTTATTCAATAATTTTTACAACTGTCTTGAAACGGACAACAAGTAAAATATTTGACATGAAACTGATGGCGTTGGCAAAATACAAATCATCTGACCATTGCCAGTGATTTGTCGAAGGTCTTATCTATTGTTGATTAATGCAGAAGAAATTTTCTTTTTAATCGGGCCCTGGTAGAGTTGTTCTAAAGTTTTCTCGCGAGCAAGTTCGGGTGATCAGCTAGGCGATTTCTATATTTGTGTGAGTAAGCGATTATTTCATCCTTAACTGTGCTAGTGCCCGTGTTTTTGTGTATTAATCAATTTGGAACTTACTTTGGTGCTTTCAAAATTTCTTTTAATCACTTGTTTTGAAATCTTTGAGTTATTAAAGCGTTTGAGTTGGAAGTTGATCCCCATAGCTGTATGCCGTATGTCCAAATTGGTTTAATGATGGCTTTATAGAGGTAAATTTCATTATGAGTGTCAAGTTTTGATTTTCGTCCAAGGAGCCA